CCTATCATGAAGGCTATCTCAGGATCTGCAAGATGCATTTCACTTGACCTTCCTGGACATGGGGAAACAAGATTTAAAGATCATGATGGTAAGAAAAGTGGAGGGAAACCCAACTTGTCAATTGAGATGATTGCAGATATATTAGTTAAGTTGATTCAACATATTACCCCTCACAAGGTTACCCTTGTTGGGTACTCCATGGGAGCAAGGATTGCATTGTACATGGCTATGAGATTCAGTCAGAAGGTGAGAAGGATGTTTTAGCTTTTGGTAGTTATTTCAGACATTCTCAATTATGTTCTTAAAAATTTAATATTCAGATAGAAGGAGCCGTTGTGATATCTGGAAGTCCTGGCCTAAATGATATACTAGCGAGAAAAATGCGAAGAGCATATGATGATTCCAGGGCACGCTTCTTGGTTGATCATGGTTTACAACTCTTTCTAGACAACTGGTACTCGGGAAACATGTGGAAAAGGTGATTTACTTATCTTTTCCTCTTAAAGTTTTTCTTCGCTTATTTTATTAAAGATATTTGCAATATGTCTTGCACCACTAATCATCTGGGTAACTTTTCTGCATGGGACAGCTTGAGAAGCCATCCTCATTTTACTCGAATAGTTTCCAGCCGCTTGCTGAATGATGATGTGTGTAGTCTGGCAAAAGTTTTAACCGATCTAAGCATTGGGAGACAGCCGTAAGCTCATCAAGATTTTCTTTTGATCTGAGTTTAGTTTCGTTGGGATGATCTGAAAGAGTTTTTTACCGTCTTAAACTAACATTTTACTTCCAGCCTTTGAAATATTAAGTTAGCATATATGTTGCATGAATCAGTTGGTAGTATAAAGTTCTAAAAACTTTTGATCTACACCAATAACTTCTCTATTTTCAGAATGATAGTTGGGGAAATCCAACTTATTGTGATTGGATATCTTGTTTCGATTTCCTTCTCCTCTTGTTTCCCCTTTCTTTCTTTCATTTGAGAAGGCAAATTTGCAATCTATCATTATCAATGGAAATCCTAAAATCATCAATCGTTGTTCCTCCTTCGTTAAAATACTATACTTTTCTGGATATCGCTGATTTTTTTTCTCTTTTTGGGGTCAAAGGTCACTGTGGGAAGGGCTGAAGCAATGCAACACACACCTTTTGCTCATTGTTGGAGAGAAAGATGAAAAGTTTGTGGAAATTATGAAGAAAATGTATGATGAGATTAGGAAGAGCAAAAGTGAAAGAAAGAACTTAATCTGTGAGAAAGTTGAAATTCCCAACTGTGGACATGCTGTCCATTTGGAGAATCCCCTTCCTCTTATCCAAGCAGTGAGAAAATTTTTGACAAGAGTGAAGCAGAATCCTGCTTGTGATGAAGCTGCAGTTTAGATAGACTGTTTGGATATCCAAGTGCATTTTAAGAATTTCAGGTAGTTGAATCCATTTATGAGTACTTCTGGTATCTGGTATTTTGAATATCTAGGTACGTTTTTGGGCATTTTGGATATCTAAGCGCATATCTGAGCATTTCTGCTAATACGATATGTTTTCTAGTCATTTTGGGCACTTATATGCATTCTTTGGCATTTCAGATAATCGAGTGCATTTTGGACATTTCAGGTACTCACCCCAGGGTGGGTTTCTAGACTTTCCAAGTAACCATGGAGGTTTGTGAATATTTAGATATCGGATGCATTTATGGGTATTTAAGCACGTCACTATAGCCTCACGGTTGGTAATGTAGTTATTAATTATGTTGAAAAGCATAATCACGACTGCATCTTGTAATGTAATCACAATTATATTATAATCTTAGAGACGAAACACTTTATGCAACTCAACAATTTAATAAAAATTGGTTATAAATTTAATTTCATTGTAAGGTTATTACATCCAACCAAAATGCTTAGTGTTCTCCAATTGATGCTTACCTAGCTAAACCTATTCATGATTGCTTAGTGTTTTTTAGTTAGAATGTAACTTGCCCAAGCTCAAAATTGCTTAGTGTTTTTCAGTTGATGAAGCAACGGTTACCTAGCTATGCCTATGCGTATCATGTGGTTTATGGCTGGTTTCTGCACTAGTTTAAATATGGATTTAAAAGAAAAATCTTCTCTATCATTTCACTGTAATTAATGTAATGGTTATTATATTTTTATAATATCAAGCAGAAACAATTATATAATCTTATTAGAGGAAAAATGTGTTACTTAAACCCTTTCAGTTTCAGCTACATTTGCAGAAATAGCTCCCTCCATTTTAGAAAGAGAGCTGCTCGTAGTTTTCACGTTTTATTATCCTCAGCAAAAATGCGAAAATGGAAAACGTTATCTTAATACTTTATTAGCAATAGCCTTGTCTCTTGAGTTCATGAAAAACTACATACACTTGTGTGTGTGTGTGTATATATATTTCAGTCAGACATATATATGACATTTGAATGACGTTACAATTTCAGGCAGACATCAAAACGGGAGACAATTTTAAGGATTTGAAGCATTGTTTTATTACGATTAAATTGGTAGCTACTTGTGTTTGTTATGATCCTCTTGGTTGATCTCCCTAGGGACCACAATAATTAACGAGACAGTTCTTTCGATAGTACAGGAAGAACTTCAATGAAAGCCACCATGTTAGATTGTCCATTTGCGGACACATTGGTGGCTTATAATACGCATATATATAGACATAGATACTTACGATAAACAAGAATAATTGCTCTATGAATCAGTATTTCCCATGTTTTCTCCGTTGCTATAAGCATATAGTTTCCTCATGTGCGGAAAAAAAATAAGGTTTTGTTTCTTCTCCAATCAATACATTGTAAAAATTAATAGCTTTGGATTCTTTTATATCTCGGTTTTAGTACCAGACAAAACACTGGGATTTTTCCAAAACGTAGAAATTGGTTTTGTACGCCAAAGAAAATCAAGGTGCTTATAAATTACCAGCCTTCTATTCCTACATCCCTCTAGCCAGCAATCTAATTATCTTCAATCTTCTTCTCCCTTCCTACTTAATTTCATGGTATATTCTAACTACCTATCTAATCTTCTTCTCATTGTATTTTGTGAAGTTTTCAGGGTTCAATATTGACAATGTGCATAAACTAATTTCCTTGTTACAGGGACAGGATCCTAGAAGCTTCTCTCTTTCAAATTCTTCTTCCATGGAGCAGGATTTTTCTGATCAGATTAAGGGTAATAATGGGTCATCCAAAAACAACCCTTCTGTAAATGGGACCGATCAGTGTAAAAATAATACAACAACATCGGATCATTCTATCAGTATATCGAATTTGGAGATGGAAGAGAATAAGAATGTTTATACCGATGAAGATTTGCCTTTACTTAAAAAGTTAAATCAGAAATGGAATACCATTGTTGCTGTCCTTTCCTTTACAGGCTTATTTTCCCTTCTCAGCATCAACTATAAAATGAACCACGAAGGTCACCCGACACCAGAAATCTTATTTAGAAAACACCCATATACCTTTTACATATTTCTGCTTGATATCATGTTGACATTTTTCTCGTCTATCAATGCTCTTGCTTGCGGTGAAAAATACCCGAAAACTACCAAGGCATTTAGCCTGTTAGCGTTAACTGGTGTTATGTTGTCATTCACCATATTGCTGTGGACACTACTGCCTCCAAGAGTGAGCTGGGCTCCACTGATCTTCTTCGTTTTGACGTTTGGATCAATCGTTTACCATTGCAAATGTGTCAACTGGTTGAGGACAAAGATTGTTGAGAAGCTCCCATGGTAATTTGGTTTTGATCAATTCTCAATTAGCAGAGAGGATTTGTGATGGTGTTTGCTTATATATATATATATAAGTTATAGTGTGTCAAAGTACATCAAGTGGCTGTAAATGGCAATGAACTTTCTTAGTACATCCGTAGATGCTAATCAAATAAGTGAAGCATCGCTGTACATCATAATCTTTGCAAATAATTAATGAGTTTTTATGTTAATTCTGTTGCGTAAAATTTCTTATTTCTTTCATTATATATCAGAACGAACGGAGTATATAAGTAAGTTTTCATTCTGTAAAATTACATCTTAAATATATTTGCTTATTTGCCCTCTGCTGATTGCTAAGGAAATGCCAACGGTTTGCAAGTTCATTGGTGGTAACATCGAGTTGCCAGGCACGAGATTAGATCTCCATCTTGTCATTCATGAGATGGTCTGAGTTTATACAAATAATTCGGGAAAATAAGATTACGTGTAATAATATATACAGTAGTTTCTTAGACGGTAATATATTATATTTCGTTTCTTATTTATCTTGGCCTTTTATAAAGTTAATGTTAAGCAGAACAAACTGCTCGCAAGAATATTGATTGATAGCCGTCACTGAAAGCTAGCCATTTAGGCAATCAATTGAACAAGTATTTCGTTCAGTTTCAATTGATAACATAATCAAGCTGTATGTAACTTCGTGAGTGTGGTTGACGTGTTGATCACGTTACTAGGTTAAAAAAGCAGAAAAATTCACCTCTGTATTTGATATCAATACGACGTCGGTTGAGTGCACCATACGGATTTCGAATTTCTGCAATTAAAAGAGGGTAAATGTTTATTAAGTAGAAAAAGAAGAAAGAAATTGCTCCTGTGAATTATGAAACAAAGTGGAGAAGAGGTGAGGACGTGTCCTGAGAGGAGGGAAGTTAATACCAAAAGCATTCTCTATTTATATAGGCACGGTAGAAGATGGATAGAGCCAAGATATTTATGGTTTAAAAAATATAAGAGTATATGTCCACTTCTTTAATATTTGGATGCAACCAGCGACAGCTATGTGTCGTTAATTTTAACTGTATATTACCCCAACAATGGACAAATTAAAGTTTAAACAAAAGAGTTATTTGATGCACGGACTCCTCTTAATTTGGCTTTCTTTATGTATTTTAGTACCAAGATGGTTTAACTTATATTTTAAAAATTCAATTCTAAATTTCTCCATGTAATTTAATTGGTGTTTCTTTTTTTTTTTTTTTTTTTTTGTTGGAATATAAATTTTTTATAAAAAAAAAAAAATATTTGGAACAAATTATATTAATTGGGATTAAATGGAGTTTACCTTACATTTTCCCATTTGATTATCAAATCTTCTCTTTCCTTCCTCTCACTATTTAATAATTATAAGAATATCACAGCCGGCATATTTATTTTGAATTTGGCTAATCATACATGAAAAATAACATGTCATGCTCGCAAATCATAGGAAACGAAGATTTTGCTAATTATACGTTTTATGTATAATAATATGTTTATAACTATATTAGAAAAAAAAATCATACATTTTAGAATTTACAGTTGTTTTGCGGGTTAATAATATCCACGTCAGAAAATAATGTGATGGTTGGAGAGAAGTTAGTCATCTGATTGTTTCAAACCCTGTGGTGGGTCGCACCCACACACACTTGAACAGCAAGTTACCGTCCTCTCACATCATCCCCTCTCCACTCGCCCTTAGAAGTTGCTCCTTCTCCTGTACTTTTACCAAAACATCCTCAAATTTATGCATGGAAAACTTAAGGATATCCTAGACAAATCACCCATCATCGCCTTGTTGAATTTGTCAACGCCAAAACCAATTTGTATGAGTGTATCTTGTAGGTCATGGCCGCCACGTATATATAACTTACACATATGAACACATCCCCTACAATCTATTCTTGCTTGTTTATTGTATAGATAAAGGTATGGCCTTCAACAATAGAAACCTCCACGGCGCCGCCGTTCCCGTCTTCATTTTTCTGATCCTTGTGTCCCTTGCATCGCCATCTTTGGCGGGATCGGAGACCGATACTCCGGCGCACTGTGCCATGACGAAAGAAGAAGGAAAGTGTCACGACAAGGGAGAGTCATTGAAACTGAAGCTTATTGCCATAATTACGATACTAGTGGCAAGTATGATCGGTGTGTGCTTGCCGATGTTTTCACGCTCCATACCCGCGCTAAGACCCGACAGAAATTTATTTGTACTCGTAAAGGCATTTTCTTCGGGTGTAATTCTGGCAACCGGGTACATGCATGTGTTGCCGGATTCGTTTGACTGCTTGACATCGGAATGTTTGCCGGAAGATCCATGGAGGAAGTTCCCATTCACGACGTTTGTAGCAATGCTGTCGGCAGTGGCGACTATGATGGTGGATTCATTTTCCATGAGTCTGTACAAGAGGCATTGCTCCAGATCAGTTGTTACTGAGAGACTGGAAAATGGGAATACGTCTGAGCATGGTCAACATCATCTCAAACCACATGATGAAACAGAATCACAATTGTTGAGGCACCGTGTTGTGGCTCAGGTATAATATATATATAATATGGTGTTTATTCATATATATAGGAGAGCGAAGTAAATAGTGGTAAAATGCATGCAGGTGTTAGAGCTGGGAATTATAGTACATTCAGTAGTGATTGGTCTAGCGATGGGAGCGTCTGATAACCATTGCACCATCAGGCCACTGATTGCAGCCCTTTGCTTCCATCAAATGTTTGAAGGCATGGGACTTGGTGGCTGCATATTACAGGTAGGCCCATTGATGTGTATATATGTGTGTGTGTGTGTGTGTGTAGGTTGTTTCTAAAACGGTGATAATTGAGATGGGTATATATGATCAGGCTGAGTATAAATGGAAAATGAAAGCAATCATGATTGTGTTCTTCTCGGTGACCACTCCACTTGGAATCGTGCTGGGAATTGGGTTATCGAATGTATACAGTGAGAACAGTCCAACAGCACTGATCGTGGTGGGACTATTAAACGCTTGTTCAGCTGGGTTGCTGAATTACATGGCGCTGGTGGATCTTTTGGGATCTGATTTTATGGGGCATAAACTTCAAAACAATCTGAAACTCCAGGGGTGGGCTTATTTTGCAGTTTTGCTAGGTGCTGGAGGTATGTCCTTGATGGCAAAATGGGCTTAGCTTAACGCCCTCAACTCAATCCAATTAGACTAGGGCATCAACTTCATTTGTTTCCATTGTATATGTATATATACTCACTCTCATTTTTTGCTCCCTTACTAAATATATATTCATCTCAAGCAGCTTTAGAATTCCTCTTGATTTGTTTCTCAATGAAACTTGGATATAAAAGCACCTTATACATACACATCATATATAGAATTCCGTCGCTACACTGATAAATATTGCTCGCAGAGAAGAACTCGAGATCAATGAAAGCTCAATTTTTGAATAATCAATCATCAGCTTAGATAGATGAATAATTAAAAATTCACCGGGGGTTCAATGGAATCCATCAGGAAAATACCCACTATTAAAATATATATATATGTATATGTGGATATTGAAATTCACCAAAGGAATTACTAATTATTTATTAAAGAATAAGGTTATGTTGCTTCCAAGTATCTTTTAGAAGAATTTTACTGGAATTTTCTGATCTAAAATATGTAATTTTTAATTGTTTTTATTGATTTTTTTTTCTCATTTGTATTAAAAAAAAAAAGAAAAGAATAAGAATATGTTTATTACATATTGATTATGATGCTCTTTATATTTACCATTAAAAAAAAAAAAAAAAAATCTAATGACTAAGAAATAAAATACAGAATTAATTATATATTAGTAAATATTTTATAGTCATTATTGTTTATTTATTTTCAGTATTATTAAGAATATAAACTTGAAACTACAATAGACATGTGTAGATCATACTGAAATTTAAGGAAAAAGACTGCATAGCAGAAAATAAATTAAGTGAAGATGAAATTAAGGAATATTATACTCGGCAATGAAGAGTAGTTTCCCATTTCATATATATATATATATATATATATATATATATATATATATATATATATATATATATATATATATCACTCATTTACTGTGCTGTCTTATAATAAGTGGTTAAACGGTGATCATGATGAATGTTCTCATCACCTCTCACCAAGCTTAACCATTAGTTTGAAATCATTAAACAAGCTTTTTTTTTTTTTTTTAAAATTAAAAATAATCAATGTCTAATTCTCTCCAGCCATATAATTTTCTATACTATTTGTTCAATCAGAAGCAACCAGCTCATAGTTTATTAATTGACATTTGACAAGTACCTAATCACTCAAAAACTTTTCTAAGACATTGATTAGCTAAAGATTTTTAAGATATATACATGTGTGTGTATTTTTAAACCATCTCTGCAAATATTTCCTAATAAAATATATATTTAAAGTTTAACATATATGTATATATATATAGAGAGAGAGAGAGTAAATAAACTGGTAAGATATATAATGCAGTAAAAAAAGGAAATGCAGTAAAGACATTTGAAATATAAATTAGATACTGGTTTCCCTGTAAATAAGCACTTGCCTTGATGTGAAAACAGGATTAAGGGACTAGAATTCAACACCTCTTTTGCTTTGGGTCAAATCTGCTTCGCAATTTATCAACATAAAACTATACCTGGAGGAAATCAATCATTATTTTTTGGAATTCTATTTTTTAATATCAAAGAAATATTAAAATTAATTAATTAATAACGATACGAACATGTGTGGGTAATTTCTCACTTATAATTAACTAGATAATGGAGACACAAAAGCTTTGAACGCTGACGTGCTTACGCAGTGCTAGTTATCAAAGACGGATGATGATCTTTAAATTTAATAGAAAAAATGTATGAATTTATGATCGTCACTTTAGGTATGAGGATGTGGCAGGTTTGTGACAAGTTCTATTAAATTCAATTTGGAATATAATTATATTATATTTACGATATAAATATAAATATATTAATAACAAATTCAGATGTAAGATGTTCAATTCAAACTTATGATTCTTGTAATTAAATTCAATTTGGAATGTAAGTGAGTTAAATTAACTTGTGAGTTATTATAGGAAACTCCAATGATTTTATATTTGTTAAATTGCCTGTGTCTTTGGTCCTCTTCATGCCCACTCATTTGAAAGAAAATGCAGGCACACCATGGAGATGGCTAAATAAGTTAACTAAACCACCTATACATATATATATACATACAACATCAAAAGGTAGCACATCTCCATAAATTTCACAAATTGGTGATTGCACACATTAAATAAAAAAAAAAATGCGATTTAGATTGTTCAGAGGAGCACGTTTCCTGGTAGTGAGTTTTTGCAACGAAGACGACTTTGTTAGTTATAGAATTACACACATATATGTATATGTATATATATTTAGTATTAGGAAAACAACATGATGGTGACTAATCACAGTCATCATCATCATCATCATCATCACCAAATACCCAATCTTGCTTTACATGTATCCTTGACATATAAATTAATTAAAAAGCAGCATAAAGGGAGAGGTTTAACATAAACCTAGTTTAATACGATACATTAAGGTTATTAATCTTAATTAATGACAAATAAACTTTGATATATATATATATATATATATATATATATCAATATAATCAAATTTTCTTTATACGAAAATATATGTTTCAATTAAATTATATATATTTTTTATTTAGTTTTATTACAAAATCAATTATACCTATAACATAATTAATGAAATATACAAAATTACCTACTTTCATTAGTTACCTTAAATTGGATTTTTTTTTCTTCCTTATTAATCTAAATGCATGCACCATCTGTATTATAATAATAACTTCAAGAAATAAAAATTTTGCTAGTTTCTTCTTTATATACAAGTATATCTATAGATTTCAATGCTGTAATATGAATATAGTAATTTAAGTTGAAGGGATATTATAATTACAATTAAATTTGGTATGAACAAGTTTTATATTGGGAAAAAAGTTAGGATGACCAAAAGGAAAGATGATGATCCTATCCTCTTTTAACCAATTGCTTGGAGATGTGAAGACGCCACAAACAAATTTTAAAAAAGAAGAAGAAGAAGAAGAAGAAGAAGAAGAAGAAGATTAAAGTTAGAATAGAAAAAGAAGAGTTGGGTTGTTTAAGTGGGGGAAAAAGTGGAGACATCACATGTTATAAGGCCATAAATAAACCTTTAAAAAAAAAAAAAAAAAAAAAAAAAAAAAGAGGGTTCGAAAAGCTGCAATGACCGAGGTGAACCCAACCCCTTCATATTTTGCTTTCAAGTAAATTTTGATTAGGAAAAATTCTAAATAATATTTTGATTATGTTTCGTACACCTAACATTGTGATTAATCTACTCATCGTTAATATATCAAAACTCAATTACGATTATAATAAATATGTTTAAAATTATCAAGACTTCATTTAAATATCACCTTATATAGAACTTTTTTTTTTAATAATCAAAATTCATATTATATAGGGAGGGGAATTAAAAAAGCTATAAGAGTCTAATGTGTCCTTGATGTAACCTTCATCGGATAAGCTGTCAATGGAGCTTATTTCCATTGTCAAAGGATTAAAACACTTATAATCAGTCATATCATCACCATTAATCCACAAAAGAAAGCATGTACAATATGCCAAGAAGGAAGTAAAAGTAAGAGAGAGAAAGAAAATCCCAAAAGAATGAAGGTAATCAACTCACCACAAATTGATTACCTTGTTTAATGCATAACAAAAAAAAAATAAAAATAATAATTTTGTTTATTGACTAAACATATGACACTTGTATTTCAAGCGTGTTGTTATGAGCTACCAAGTCTTCTAAACCCCTCCTATAAGCTCTAAACTTTTCTATATATATATATTTAAAGAAGACATGTACCCTTTAAAAAGGAAGTTAGAAAAGTAAGAATTTTGTCTAAACAATTTTAAAACCACATCATCTACCTCTCCTTTAGGTAGGTAGACCGTATGAATTTCGTACTTGCACACAGTAGAAAAAGATTATGGTAGATCCTTTACATAATTAATAAACTATTAAATAGTTATGATGAAAAAGATAATGCCGTACACCCCCTAAAGCTTAGCTTTTCGGTTTTGATTGGGTGGATTATCTTATCTTAATTTAAGAAATTAGGTGAAAATGAGATTTGAATATTCACCAGAGTATATTGCTTGATAGATGCAAAAATTTGTTGCTTCTTAGGTTTTATCTCTATATATATATATATATATATATATATATTTATTTAGTGGGGAATCGCCTAATCTCTCATGAAACTAATCAATTTATATATAAGTACATGCAAATATATTATTATTATCCTTTGCTTATTACTAGCTTTTTCTATCCCAATATACATTAAGCAACTGGTGCTCTACCGGATATATGGTTCAAAAAAAAAAAAAACCCATTATGTATACATTTGTGATTAAGCATTAATATACTGTAGATCAGGAAAAGTTAATTTTCCAATTTATTTTATCTTTGTAAAATTAAGAACATTAAATGTAGAATGTAAAATTATTAGAAGAAGCGAAGTGATGAATAAATAGTTTGCATGTAAAAAGGTTATATATAATGATGAGAAGCAGTAATCTCCAGCCATTTGTAATCCTTAAATGACATAAAAAGCAAAACAAAAACAAAATTATTCAAAGAAAAGACGAAAATGAAAGCTTTAATTATGAGTTAAAACCACTAGCAAAATTTTTAAGGATATCATGCATCCTTGAGTTATAAAAAGCAACACTTGAAAACGACTAACTCGAAAGGAAACCAAGAGGATTATAATATCATTTTATGTGCACAAAATATTAAATCACAAGTATTTTACTAAAGTTTAAAAATTCAATCTGTGATTCATTCAAATATATATATATATATATATATATATATTTTATGTATATACTTTTTAAAAATAATTTTTCCTTACGTATTTAAAGACATAAATATTTGAATGAATTACTCCATTAATGATATAAAATGGTCAAAGATCAAATAACTCATGTCTAGAAATAAAATATCGGTTACTTAAATAACTCAAAAATATATATATATAGAGAGCATTTTTTTCCATGACCAAGCTCTTGCATATTTTCTATTACCTAAACTTTAAATTTTATCGTGTTATAAAAATAACTTCTCTCCAAATATATACATACTTGAAAAATGTTAAAAACCTTTAATTGTTTATTAATATTCGTTCATTCGTGATTTTTCGATGATGATATTTAGTATTAAAAGTTTCTGAAGTTAGCTACTATCATATCTCTCTGTTTTTAAACCAGATAAATTATTGTTTTAAATACTTAATTTACTAAGTTATAAAATGAAAAAAAAAAAATTATGTATAATCAACTAATTGAACGCAATTGTTAAATCCACATATAATTAGCGACTAAGTTATTTTATGTCACAAAAGAAGGCTTCTCTTTTAGTATTTTCCTTAATTTAAAAAATCAAACTTAGGTGGAAAAGATTACAATCTTGAGCCATTTGTAACCTTAAATCAGATTAAAAAAAAAAAAAAAAAAAAAAGTATAAAGCAGAGAGAATTAAGTTCTGGTCCAACAAAATGTAAGGATGATATTCATCCTTTAAAAAAAAAAAAAAAAAAAAAAAAAAAAAAGGAAAGACAAATGAAAAGAAGAACATGAAAGCTTTAATTCTGTGATAAAACCACTAACGGAAGTTTAAGCATACTTTAAACTATTTAATTCAACCTTAATTCCATTAATAAAAGAAAATCAACCTTAATCCCATGCTTTCGATGATTAAAAAACAAAAATTGAAAACGACTAACCCAAAGTGAAACTAAAACAAGAACAAGAACAAGCCACTCATAAATTGATGATCAAAAAGCTCACACATGAACAAATATATTTGTATATTATATAAAATTAATGTTCGGAATTTTAGGTTCTTGATGTTAACTATATTATGGGGGTCCCCTCCAATCTCAAAATCCAAGTGCTTAACAAGTCATCGAATTAAAAAAGAGTTACCCTATTGAAACTCCATTCTTAATATAATTTAATTATCTTTTGAATTGAACTTCATTGCGTCATCCAGCCAGCCAGCCACAAGTGTTCATTCTTTTAATGGAGTTTTCAAGTGTTAATGTGCTTCTTGACTCTCCCGAGAATTGACTTCTCCCGCTCAACCTTTCTTTTTTTTTTTTTTTTCTTTTCATTTCTCTCTTTAATTTTTCCTGATCATTACTCTTACATTTAAATCATTAGACATAACACCTGCCTCTTCACCACAAAAAGCAAAGATAACGCTTGTTTTTGGTTATGCATACACATTAATGCACTTATATATGGGTTACATATATACTTTCAGCAAAAGAAAAAGTGTATATACGTGAGATATACATGCCACTATCTCGTATTGACCCTGCACTAAAAACAGCAACCCGCATCATCTTTACTGGCCAAGCTGATGATACGTGTAAAGAATAATATTGTATAACATACACTAATTCACCTATACATGGCTATATAAGAGATGTACATAAAAATAAATGTATATATAATTACTTTTTTATTTCCTGTGTTAAAATTGGCCCACTTCATTAGACTTTTCTCTTCCTATAAAATCCCATTCGGCTGTCTTGTTGACAATATCCCAAGCCTTCCAACATTATTAATTACTACCCCTCTGCAACACCCTTGATCAAGTGCCTGCCACCATGCTTCAAGGTGAGATCACTGAAATGAACTACTGTCTTCAACCCGAAAATTACCCAGTTCAGATTCCTTCTTCTAATAATAATCATAACTTGAGTATGATCCAACCAGCCCTCCAATTCAACAGTAATTTGTTTGGCATCCCTCAGTCCTCATCGTGTCTGAGCAGCAATAACTCAACTTCGGACGAAGCGGAGGAGCATCAACGGAGCATCATCGACGAAAGGAGGCAGAGAAGAATGATTTCTAACAGAGAATCTGCTCGGAGATCACGTATGAGGAAGCAGAAACACTTGGATGAGCTGTGGTCACAGGTGGTTCGGCTTCGGAACGAGAATCATGGGTTGATAGATAGGTTGAATCATGTATCGGAATGTCATCACCGAGTTGTACAAGAGAATGCAAAGCTCAAGGAAGAAGCTGCCGATCTTCGTCGAATGCTGACTGATTTGCAGATTAGCAGTCCTTATACGGCGGTTTTAAGAGCCGGATTAGATGATCAGATCACCTGCAACACTGCCCATCTCAGGGCTGAATCCACTATCAGTAATGCGTCTATAGATCTTCTTCATTGAGAAATCTAGCTCATCCAAATTTTCCCATTAATTTTATTAACTCTTGTACGTTACGGCTTGTATGTTTAAACATTTGATCGACATCCCACCGTTTGTTTTTATAATTAGCAAGAATAATTTACATTCACCATTTCTACGAGTATATGTATATATATGTGTGCATATATCGTCCAATAACTGACTCTAGTTACCATTTAGCTTTAACCAGTTGATGGATCAAAGAAGCTGCAGAGTAATTAACTTGTAAGCTTCTCGCCGCGTATGAATTAAATGATTGCAAAGTAGCACAGTTGTGGGAACGATAACGTACGCGAAAATGATTTAAATATATCCATGGTGGTCCAGAAGCAGCAAATCATCACTTTAATTTTGGATAACCCAATTACCAGTTGTTTATTATTCGATTTCACATTAGATGGTGTAACATCACAGAAACTCTTAAGAAAAATCATTACTCTCATGATATATGAGGTCGTGCATATATTAAAAAGAATATATGTATTTATATTCTTTTTCAGGTGTACAAAAAAAGAAAGTGATCATGATCAGCAAACATGTTATTTTGGGTACGAGTGGTGACCCTTAATTCTGTGAACAGGGAACCCAGTAATGGCAGAGGCAGAGAGAGAGAGAGAGAGGTCCTATGGGGAGTCAAGAATTGCAGAGAGAGGAAGAGGACAAATTATGGTGGACGAGGCTGGTGGTAGTGGATCATGATCATACCATATGAAGCAAAAACATTTGAAAGGAAAAAAAAAAAGCCTATCCACTACAACACCCATATACTGTTTTAAGCTTTTCATGAGGGCATTATTTCCTGTCTAAACTTGGTTTCCTCTAACCTTTACATTCTTTTCTTTTTTTCTTTTTTTTCTTTTCACCATTAAATATGGCGTCAAAGCTAACCACATGTATATATATATATATATATATATATATATCTACATCTATATTCTTCAGGTGTTGCTTTGAACAGTAGCTAGTGACATTAATCTTTTTCCAATTATTGTCTTAAGTGAGTTCCTGTTCATTATATATATATATATATATATATATATATATATATTTGCCAACCATCCCTTGTCAAGTTGGTATCTTTATCCCCCTTTCTTAGCTCTTGCATATATAGTTATTTGCTTGTAATAAAATTAATGAAATTATAAAATTAATAATACAACTAACATATTATATATATTTTTTTTTCATGTGCTAGGTATAGAATATTATTTTTATAGTTGTATAAAATATAATAAAAATATTATTTTATGTGAATACTAAAGAAATTTTTAGTAAAAATATAAAATATTTATCACATCTTAATATTTGAAAAAAATATGCAGAATGAATATGGTGTGAAAAAAGAAATATATGTGATAAAAAATTTATATGTTTATATAATTTTATAATATGTAAAAATATGACCATATTCAAATTATTACGTAGTTTTAATACCCTAATACATTGGACATCCGAACAGCTGGCCGAACAATAACCTCTGTAATTATTGGAGAACAAAGATTTTGGGCTTTAGCCCAATTGAGTTGAAGGCCACATTTTGTCAGGCCGAAACAAAGATGTCCTCTTAATATATATGTATATATATATATATATTGTAATTTTGTTGTTATAATTAATTTTTTATACCAATTGAAATTAATTCTTCTTTGTTAAATAAGGAATATTATATTCCTGAAAACAGCAGACTTTAAGGTTTATATATATTTCATAATCAGATACCTTAACACCACAGAAACCAAATCGAAACATTCATTGATCAAGTGTGCGACCAGATAAAAAGAGTAACAGAAAAACCAGTAATGAATCATGATGGTGCATTTATGTGTTGAGTGTAGATATAATCAGTATGAGGGATCATCATTCTCCTAATCAAGTACTCTTCACTCTTCAACCCTCTGCGCTCATCATTCTCATCATCCCCATCTTTGCTTGATTCTCCCTCCTACACAAAAGCAAATAATACAGTACTAGTAAAATATACATACATATGTATAGGTGTTTATATATAATAGCTTACAGGTGAAGAAGAAAATAAGTGATCAGTCGCCGCTGAAATAAGTCTGCTGGTAGCTGCAGTTCATATTAAAAGCTGTAAAGCCAAGATCAACCTCAGTTTCTTTGCCATGTTTACTGTCAATTGTATATATATGACCTATACAGAGGAAGAGATTAATGGAGGAGAGATGGATGTCATATACTTAATTTGTTCTCTGGGATAGAGATGAAGGGTTATATATATATATATATATATATAGTGAGAATTAAGTTCCATGAATGAGCATTGGAATCATGTACCCAACGAGTCAAAACATTGATAATCTTGTATTTTCTTTTCCTGGGAAACATCACCATTTACACACCATTTTAAACCCTCCTTTACTCATCTTATCCATACATATATACCCACATTACAATATACTATCTATACATACACACTAACCGCATGAAAAAATATTATCTATAATAAATTGTAACCTAATTTAATAATATATTCTCCTTCTCTACTCTTATCTCTTCTTCAAGATTATTAATAAAAAAAATACCCCTACTAAAAAATTTTCTCCTCTGGCAACTCCTTGTTTTGTGCTTTTATGATATAATTAACATTTATGGACTGTTACAATGGTGTACGAAAGTTACAGACGGTTAGAATACCGACAAAAACAGGTTCCAAAGATATTTTCCGGTTTCATCTATTTCTCTCTTAGCCTCCGAACACCTAAATTCTGCATTGAAAAGTTATCTGTTTTAAAAAGTGACTCTAAAGAATTTATCCACAGATATTTTTGCTTGATGCAAAAATGGCGTATTCACCTACTCCAGTCTCTCCAATGTCTTTTCTGAAACCAACACTGCCCAAAAGGGCTTTTCTTTTTTCTTCATCTTCTTCTTCAAGTTGGAGACGGAACCCAAAGGCCATGGCCAAAGAAGTATACTTCAATAATGATGGGTCTGTTACAAAAAAGCTCAAGGTTTCTGTGGGAAACATTATTTGTCCCCTGTGTCTTGGGTTCTTATCAATAATTATGTTCTGATTGAAAATGTTTCGCATGTTTTACAGGCAGGGGCGGATATGGTGGCTGAGCTTTTAGGCGTTACTTTGGGTCCAAAAGGAAGAAATGTGGTGTTGCAGAACAAGTATGGACCCCCAAAGATTGTCAATGATGGAGAAACTGTACTCAAAGAGGTAAACGCACTTGCACTTTTCTATAATTTTCATAATATTTACATATCCCTCGAGAATCTTTCTTTTTTTTTTTCAGAGCAAATTCATATTCAGTAATTTAGTGTGATTGCCGACCATCCTCCTATTGCATATGATTTGGCTTTATATAGATTTGATTTGGGTTTCTGATGTTTTAAATGAAACAAGTGAAAGTCTGCCAAAATGCTCAACATATTGTTCCAAACAGTTCTAAGCTATAAACTGCTTAGTTGCGTGTTTATTGGTTTTAAGATCCGTTCAAAAGTCTTTTTTTTTTTGTTGCATCTCCATTATAGTACTAATAACTAATAAAGGTTGTATGTGATTTCTATTTGGCATTCCAGAAGAACTAGTGACGTTGTTGACTAAAGAAATGTTCGTTTAACATCTAACTTGTTTTCTGGATTATGTTTAGATTGAATTGGAGGACCCTTTGGAGAATGTTGGAGTAAAATTGTTGAGGCAAGCTGGTGCAAAAACAAATGACCTCGCTGGCGATGGTTCCACTACGTCCATAGTTCTTGCTCATGGCCTAATCACTGAAGGTGTGAAGGTATTATATTCAAGTATTCAAACAAAATGATTTTCTTCTTCTGTTAGAGCTTCTTGAGTGTGATCATCATCCATTTTGCTTCATTGATGTAAATATCTTGGGGAAAGTAATTTAGGAGGCAGGAGCTATTTTTTTGTCTGAAGGGACTTCTATAGCTTTGATTATTTTTTATTTCTAGTTTGGGTTTAAGGACATCTTTGATACGATTGTCTACCATGCTTTCATAAGAAGTCTGTTGCAAGTTGTACTCAAGGTTGCATTTTTTTCGCAGGTGGTGTCAGCGGGAATGAACCCTGTTCAAGTTGCTCGTGGGATAGAGAAGACTGCAAACGCCCTTGTTTCAGAACTCAAATTGATGTCCAGAGAGGTGAAGACAACTTTATAATCCAGAATAACTGAATACTTGAAAAGCATGTAGACAGAGAGAGAAAATGTCTTAGATGTGCTTGTAAAGTAGGACATGTTATATCTTATAAATCCCTCAATATTAAATAAGTCAAATTTTGCAGGTTGAAGACCATGAGCTTGCTGATGTTGCTGCAGTTAGTGCTGGGAATGATCATACAGTGGGAAACCTCATCTCTGATGCTTTTCGGCAGGTGGGAAGGAGGGGTGTTGTTACAATTGAAAAAGGGAAATGCATCACTAACAGTCTTCAGATTGTCAGAGGAATGCAGTTTGATCGAGGCTATTTGTCTCCTTACTTGGTCACTGACAGGCAGAAGATGACAGTGGAGTTCAGTGATTGCAAGGTGTGACCTGTTAGTTTTATTATGATTGGCATGCTGTTCTATAGAGTAATTAGAGGGTATGGAATCTTTTGTTGCAGTTACTCTTGGTTGACAAAAAAATCACGAACCCAAAGGAGATGTTTAAGATATTGGACAGTGCAGTTAAAGAGAAATATCCAGTTGTCATAATTGCAGAGGGCATTGAGCAAGAAGCTCTGGCTCCCATAATTAGGAACAAACTCAGGGGTGTGCTGAAGGCAGCTGCTATCAAGGCTCCTGCCTTTGGTGAACGCAAGAGCCACTGTCTAGATGACATTGCTGTCTTGACCGGAGGTAATAGCTTAAGCATTAAATGTCTTTTTTTTTTTCTGTAAAAAGTGTTCATATGTCAAATTAGGTTTGTTCAAAATCACTATCATACTAGATTTATATTCTTCAACTTTGGGCTGATGGGAGTATATCATATCCAAGAATCGTTTACCTTGAAATAGCATTATTGCAATTATGATTTGCTGGTTCGTTTACAACGGTGATGCATGGTGACGGGGCTATTTCTTTTGATTATGAAAATATTGATCATTGCAAAGGAAAACTATAGCAATGAAATTGTGGTGAAATTTTGAAAGGAAAATTTGCTTTATTAGTTTTTTTTGGCTAAATGTAATTTTTATGTTGCACAACCCAAGAACAAAACCAACAGAGAAGAGCAAAGACACAAACAGGGTAACAGCTCCATTCTTTTGATGAACAACATTATAGGATAAGATTCTTCTTGTGCAACTGAAATAGTTTGAGTTAGTTTCAGCTAGAAAATGCTTTTGCTTTTAAGTTCTGTATAAATATTGTAATTTTGTTATATGGGAGCAAGAAATTAGTGATTGGTATTTACAATGATTATATATCAGGAGAGGAAAAACTGTTATATATTGGAAACTAAAAAAAAAAAAACAATTATATGAGTTTTTGTCCCTGTATCCAGAAAACAACAAGCAATAAAGAGGAAGGTTATCTCAAGTTCCATCCCCACCCCTTATTTAAAAAAAAAACATTCCATCCCCACCCCATCTCAAAAACTATATGCAAGAAGAGCTATATAGGAATATAACCTACTCTCTAAAAAATCCCATGCAAACGTGAATGAAAATATGATGTTCCCATGAATTCCTTTTAGCACTTCAATTTTGGAAGCCAAGTTCCTTATTGTTATTAATGTGTTTTATAGGCACTGTCATCAGAGACGAGATGGGCTTAACCCTTGGAAAGGCTGGCAAGGAGGTGTTAGGCAGTGCTGAAAGAGTTTTGATAAGTAAGGATTCTACGTTAATAGTTACTGATGGCAGCACCAAAGTTGCTGTTGAGAATAGGGTTTCTGAAATCCAGAACCTTGTTAAGGTGAATCTTACGTCCTTTGTCATGGTCCTTAGTGCCATTCTCTCTTGAAGGTTCAATGTTATCGCCTGAATTGCAAAATTAAATAAACATGACATCCATACTAATTAAGCGCACACATCCAATCGATGTGAATTCATCTAAGAAACAAAAGCATGTGTGAGGCCTCAATTTATAAATGGTAAGTATTTAGGTTGAGTTTGTTAAAAATTTCAATGCTATGGGAATGAAGGAAACTACTATAGAAATGGAATAAAAATTTGAAGTAAAAGTAGTAGTGTTAATTCGAGCCAATTGCATATCTAATTCTAGTTGTTTCTTATTTCAAAAAAAAAAAATTCTAGTTGTTTCTATGATTCATCCTTTAACAACTGAAAATACAATTCATCATTGTATATTTAACATATAAGCAAATTGGTTTAATTATTCATTAAGCATGTCAAAGTGACCAAATTCCAATATTAAATAATAAGATTTAGGATTGAATAGAAATGGATAAATTTAGACCAGATGCAGCTTTATTGGATTATGGAACATAAGTGGATCAAAGTCTATATTTGGTTTAAAAGTTGGCTTCAGAATGTTCCAGAATTATTATGAAAAAGAAAAAGAAAAATTATTATCTCATTCTCTTAATATTCGGTTACCTGATACATATACATATATATATATATTTGACTTGCATCAAAAAGTAATATTCTATGCTTCTCAATGGTTGTAACTTTTTGGGCTCTACCTGTCTTTAAAGACTTGTAACCTTATGTCTAAGAAAGTGGATCCCAATGAGTCTGGTCCGAAACAATGTACAATCATGTCATCTCTAAGAACACCATATCATTGTTTGTTGTGCAGAATACAGAAGAGAAATTTCAAAAGAAGATTCTGAATGAAAGAATAGCAAGATTATCTGGGGGAATTGCAATTCTTCAGGTGAATCAATATAAAAAGAAAAATTAAGATCTGAATAATCTAGAAATCTGGAGGCTTAACCCATTTTACCTGATGTAATCAATTCATCCAACTATATCACAGGTTGGAGCACAAACCCAAGTTGAGTTGAAGGATAAACAGCTCAAGATTGAAGATGCTCTGAATGCAACAAAGGTTGCTAACTACTTGGTCTTGGATTTTATTATCAACATCAGTAAAGTTTCTATGTTGCTATGCAGGCAGCAATAGAGGAAGGGGTTGTAGTTGGTGGTGGATGTGCCCTCTTGAGGCTATCTGGGAAGGTGGACAGTATCAAAAATGTTTTGGACAATGAAGAACAAAAGGTTTCTCCACCCTCCTATTCTTTCTTTATAGTTCTTATTGTAGGTCCATTCTATCTTTATAATCTCATGAGTGGCTTGACATTAACTAAATACAATCAGGACCAAGAACATTTCTCGATGTTTCAAACTGAAGCTGAAAATTTTTGTTTGTTACATAAATCGTTGGTTAAATCAAGAACTTCAGAGAATGAATCCACTATGATGTACAATTTTTGAGCAATATATAGATTGATTTCACCCAAATATATGTCACTGAATTCTGTATTAAAATTTTCTTTTTCGCGGATTGCTTCTTAATGATTCTTAGTTTTATATATACAATCATGAATCCAGATTGGAGCAGAGATATTCAAGAAAGCATTGAGTTATCCAGCAAGACTGATAGCCAAAAATGCTGGCATCAATGGCAATGTTGTTATTCAGAAGGTCTCTTCACTATGCTTATTTTGGTCATCAATTTACATGTGATAACTTTACTTATTTTCCTATTCACTAAAAGCCTTGTTGGGTCAATATATACACAGGTTCTATCTATCAATGATACAAGGTATGGATACAATGCTGCAAGAGACTGCTATGAGGATCTAATGACAGCTGGAGTTATGGATCCATCCAAGGTATTTATCAATAAAACCTTTTGCTTGACCTAAATGAATCCCTAAATTAGTTGTAGTAGCAAAAGGCCAGTTGATGAATGCAATGATTTGCAATAGAATGTAAATCCTAGAACTTTAGTTATTGATGATTCTTGTTCCTTGTCCGTTACTGGAGCAGGTGGTTAGATGTTGTTTGGAACATGCAGCATCAGTAGCCAAGAGTTTTCTGACATCTGATGCTGCTGTAGTTGACATTAAGGAAGTAAAGCCTGCCTCAAGGAGATATCCAATGCCAACTTCTGCTGATACCATTTTTCAGAAACAAGTAATGCCTAGCCATAAACAAATGGCCCATCGACAACTGATTCCCAAACAGGCGATGCTCTGATCTGACCTGATCTATGTATACCTATCAATTAATATCTTTATGTTGGATTCCAATATTTTTTCATTCAGGTATTCATCCACTAGCTTTTGGTTTTGATGACTTATGTAGCTATAAGTTATTGCGTGCCCAATTATATGTGCTCACCATCCAGCTTCTTTCACATATGCAGAATAAGGACGGTTGACAGAAGGACTATGTAGGAGTCAAAATGGTCAGACAAAATGGAAGAGACAATCAAGGTGAACTTCAATGATTTCTCCAAGCCAAATGTTAATGTCTTATGCCAATCATGATCTTTAGAGTTGAGCACTTTCCATCCTACGCAAGCAGCCTACTTGAAGAAACAGGTAATTCCTGCGGAGAATCAAATTGGGGAAGCTGCAATCAAAGAGATATTGTCAAATGTTAATGTCTTACCAAAGCTCCCTTGTCCATGGATTTAGAAGAATCTGTGCATGCAGGTATGATCAAGTTAGTTGATTACACAGAATAGAAGCATCCAGCAACATCTGGATAGAGGTATGTAAAAGGAATTTATGCTAAAAAATGCTTCAGTTAGTGCCAAAAAATATATATACATCCAGAAAACAGATGAACTTTTAAATTCTAGTACTGAGAGCTAGGGGGAAGAATAGGTGTTAGAAAGGTGAGAGAGAGAGAGAGAGAAAGAGAGGAGGAAGAGTCAGAGAATTCGAGAGGGTAGAATTGAATTTGAAATTTGAACTATCTGAGCGTATTGAACTTCCCACCAACTAGCTATATATACTAGCTAGGGATTTGCATTTAGTTACAACGATAAAGATAATAATCGGCAACAAACATTTGAATTAATTCTCTTTGTGCATTTTTTTAAAAAAAATAAAAAGTAACATGTATATTAATAAGGTACCAAAAAAGGGGATACCAATCCGTAAGCATTAATTCACCTCGTGCATAATTCCCTAATTTACCTCGCGGTTTCTTGACAATAGGTTACCAGTTTTCTTTTCATGGGAAATATGTAGGAATCAAACAGTTTTCTTTTGACAATATCTCTTTGATATTGTCTCTGCATTTACTGAAGACTTGAGTTTTTCTATTGTAATTATTTTTGAACCAGTCTGAGTTACACATAATTTCACATGTATGATTATGAGTCATTGCCTCTGTCTCATATATTTCGGTATTTCACTCTTCCAAAATCTTTTCAGGTACACCTTTTGCCTTAGTGCCTTTGTACACAGTAATGCTCATTTTCGTAAGTGCATCTCTTCCATTTTGGACAGGCACCCTTTCTACTTTCTCACATCTCTTGTCAATCTCTTGTCATCTATGTATGAAGGCAATGAGTGCACATTCTCAAAATCTCACACTCTTTCAACCAGTGCCAACAACAAATATTCACCTAATTAATTTTATTCTATCACGTACTCATTTTGCATATATAAGAAATATTATAAAAACTAAACTCAGAAAGATTTGATGAGTTGGCGCAAAGCAAAAGAAGGAAAATGAATAATCATGTATGTTGTCTTTTACATTGACTAAATAAACATGTGAATGATGATATTCATCAGGCTTTGCCTTGATGTTGGGCAAAGGTGTGTATATACACAACGCGCGCACATATAAAAGAAAGATGATGCATCGACTTGTTAGGTAGATGTAAAACATTCAAGGGTGGAAGTGGCAGTGCCAAGTTGTAATGAAGGAGAAGATAAAATGTGCAGGGTGCAGCCAGAAGAATTGCAAGAAACTAGGAGATGATGATAATCTGTCAGCACAGTAGCAGTGGAAATCTGTCAGGTTTTGTTGGGTTCATCAATTGATTATCTGATTTGACACTCAATTCCACTTTCAATTTCGAAAATAAATTTGTCGAATAAACGAAAGGAAGAAGTGGGAGAGTAAGTTGGTGGAGAAAAAAAGGGTTTGTTGTATGATTGGTAAATGTTAAAATTAAAATGGCACGATATTTAATTAAACAAAAGAAGATTAACAATTATAGAAGAATCAATCGGTGGCAATTTTGTAAATTTTGCTAAAAAAAGAATAAAAAATTAAAAATATATATATATATATATATATATATATTTAGAAGCTGCCAAAATACACCTATTGTTGTTTGTTGAAATTTTCTACCAAAAATTATTATCTTTCTTCAAATTTATTAATTATTTCTTAATTATTTGCAAATCACTTTACCCCATAGAAACAAATAATAATAATAATAATAATAATAAAATAGAGCCCTTGTCTTCTTGACAATTGAAAAATGGAAAACCTTTTCACGTGGCAAAGGATCTTCATCAGTCCCAAAGCGTGTCATCTCTTCCTTTGCTCCCTTCGTTTTCTCTGGTTTTCCTTCTCTCTCTCTCTCTCTCTCTCTCTCTTTCTCTCTCTCTCGCTCTCCTTAGACCTAACGATTTATAGGTGGGTGGGAGATTCTGCGACCGAAAACCTCCACCTCAAATCTTACCCTCTTTTTCTAACGGCAAACGCATAGATCATTTTGTATATCGGGAATTCAGAGTGACAATGATGATGGTATTGATGGGGTTAAACGTGCAATCCGTAATCGATTTGGTGGTGGCTGCTATTTCTTTGATGATTGGTTTGGGGATTTTCGCGTTCATCGCTTCTATTCTCTGCTCTGCCGCTTTCTTGCACAACGCCAGGCTCGTCTCTTGATTTCCAAATCATTCATTGCCGGTAAATAATGCTCTCTCAATTTCTACTTTCTTTTTCCTGTTATAAAATCATCATCCTGGTTATTGACAAGATCATTGATGAGTTTCTCCAATATTTATATTCTGCTTGTTTCGTGATTTCATTCATTGTCCAGATGATCATGTTTTGGGACCGTTTGGGTCAATTTGTGTCATATTCATTTCACTTGGTTAATTAATTTTTTTTTTCTAATCTCTCACTAATACTACACAAATTTTATGTTTGGATTATCTGTAGTTTTACTTCTAATTTCTTCAGTAGGAGAAGAAAGGGAGTCAAAGTTCAAACATAGAAATGATGGTGTAATTTTACATACTAGGATTAGCTTAATAATTGAATAAAATTGATGCGAAAGAAATAAAGTACAAACTTTGGTTGTAAAGAACCAGTTGTACTGCTATTTAGATTGGTTTTTACCTTATCCTTATCTATTATTGCATTTTATTCAAAGTGACTCTTCGTTTTCATGTTGGCATGATCAATTCGCCAATGTTTTTAAAATCAAAAAGAAGAAAAAAATTATCTCCCCTTGTGAAATCTCTTTCTTATACCACATATGCCGGGCTTGAAAATCTATAACTAGTTGTAGAAAAAGATGTTTCATGTGTAAATAAAGGGGAAAGAGGACGAAGTTGAATGAAGCATTTTATTATTATTCATCAAATTTCAGAAATTCGAAAGGCTACAAAATTTTGCTTGGTTGACCTTATAAACCATATGGGAAGGAGGCTGTCTTCGGTTCGGCACTTGTAAATCATCATATGTATGCATATCTCTTCTTCAACGAACTGCTTTTAGTTGTTTTAATTTTTTCAGGTTTTACTGGACCAAACTTATTCGAAACTACTTGTTCAAAATCTTTTGGGCCAAAATTATTCGCAAATAGAACATCCACTAGATCTTTTGGCTGTTCATTAATCTTCTATCCTCGTGAAGTTTCATGATATCTTTTGCCAATCTGTTATCCACTCTGTTCCTCATTTCCGTTCTTTGCTTCTCGTCTCTCTCCATTATTGTCTCTGGGTCTGGCTAATTATGCCTGGTTTCTTTAGTACGTGGAAATGCTTTCTTAAATTCGTATGGTTATAAAATATGAAAAACTTGTGTGGCAGTTGAAATGGAAAGTGCTTGAAAATGATAAAAGAAAATATAATGGGTTTGGAAACAAGAAAAGTTACTCTTCATATTTTCTGGAAAAGAAAAAAGCTTTTATTTAAAGTTACTCATGAAATACCTTTTTTGCCTATATAAATTTAGAAAATGCAAGTTGGAAAATATTGTCATTTAGTAATAAGATGTGTTTGGATTGTGGTTTATTAATATATGATATGATATTGAAATGGTTTTACCTTGTTTAGATCTATTTTCGGAACACATAAAAAATTTTACTCTCGTTTATCCCCGCACAATATTTTCTTAATTTTATATTGATTCTAAATGAATATACAAAAATTATAAGAAAAACAACTGATATATAAAAATAATTTATATAATAAAAATATACAAAAAAATAATAAGAATAATAGCAATGTACAAAAATAATATAAATAGTTGTAATGTACAAAAATAATGGGAATATACAAAATTAAATCTTTTTGTTTTTTTAATTTTTTTTATTATTTAATACAATCATATTATTATATAATAAAAATATTTGTTATTATCATATAATAATATATAAATTTTTTAAATATGGTATAGTATATTCTGTTATTGTCATATAACACCATACATCAATTAGCCACGTCATCCAAACAAGCCTTTTAAGGAGCAGCAGAAATTTCTTGTTTGCTGAGGTTCATTATGGAATTTTTGCTCACTTAGAACCTCTTACTTGCTTTTGAAACAGAATTAAGCAGCATGGTGAAGAGGCTCAGCAGAGAGATGGTTGTTTTAGGAGACAAAACAGCTTTCTGATCAGAAAACAAGTTGTCTGTAAAGGAGGCAGATTGTCTGGGAGGTCGGTCTGAGGAGCGGTAGGTTTCAAGCTTTGCAATGTAATATATGACTTCATATCCGGGTATTCAGTAATAAAATCATCTTCTACACAAATCAAATCACTGTTTTAGATCTATTCTCTTTTCATCTATTCCTGGTTGATGCTTACTACAACATAAAATTTTCAAAGGAAAAAGTAATTACTTCCGCAGATAAATAAAACCTGGGAACATTTTCAAGTGTGTTATTTTTTCTTCCGCTGTTTTCTGGAGTAGACCATGCCTCGGATCCCATCCGGGTCGGCTACAAAGCCCAGGGGTCGATAAAACCCGACAACTCGGGGCTCCGAGTACAGAGCAATATTGCGAATCCCTTTACTCAACAGCTCATCTATCAGTCTCTCCATGATAGCCTTGCCGAGGCCAATTCCTTGGAACGAGGGATCCACCACAACGTCCCAAATGATGGCGTTGAAGACGCCGTCCCCAGTGGCCCTAGCGAACGCCACCGGTCTCCGCGTCTTCTCGTACTCTAACCACAGCAAGGCGTCGGTGTGCTCCAGCGCCACTCTTATCTTCTCAGGATCCCGCCTGGGGAAGCCGACGGCGACGAAGACGGAGTTGAGTTGGTCGAGGTCGAGGCCGGAGATGGTCCGGCGGAGGGTGAAGCCTCGGGATTGAAGGTCCCCGTCGGAAATGGAGAAGCGGCCGGTGATGGCCAATGGGCGGTAGGAACGCGGTGCGTTTTGGAGAGGAGTGGAGTTGAAGCGAAGGGCAGGCAGAGGCTTGGAGATGATGATGCCACGTAGCAGCATAATTTCCTTTGTTTCTTGGGAGAAAGGGGAGCAAGTGATAATGGAATGGCAGTGGGAGCGAAGGTAGAAATGTGCGGTGGCTATGAACGGTTGAGAGATATAAAAAAGGAGACGGGAGTGGTGGGCCTTCACTTATAACCTACCTCCTAAAATAGTTTTGTAAAAATGCATAAATTTGGAGTTTGGAAAACTCTGATCTTTAAGCCTAAAACACACACATAAATATGTATGTATATACTAATGATCTTTACCCATAGAGAGAACTTTTGGCTGCTATATTTGGAAGACATTGTATTTGAAGTTGCTGCAAATGTTCTTCTCAAAATATATATTTTTTTAAAAAAAAAAAAAAGTTTTGCTGAAAATCAATACTATATACGCTCCTCACCTGAGTCTCCTACTTCATCTTCTCATTGTGGCACACAGAACAATGAAGATGAGAACGAAGGTGACTATATTGATATGGATATTAGAAAAGCCTAATACAGTCTCTTATATAATAAATATATATATATATATATATGGAAAAGTAAATTACCAAAAAGTATTATTTCTCCTATAATGAAGCAAGTCATCAATATAACAATTATAATATAATAAAAATAAATGTTAAATAAGTAACTCGTACGACTCAAAAAAAAAAATACAGGAGGACTCAACTCTGTGATATTTTTTTAGTCAAAGAGATACCGATATTTGTTGGTAAAAACCGCGTCAAGTGGATTTGCTGCAGTTCTAGCACACATCTTTTCACCAAAAAAGGAAGAAACTTTTTTCTTCTGATAAAAAAAATGGTGATAACTTAAAAGAATATCTGGAAATACGCGAAAAAGAATCTCTGGGGAGTTGTTGCAATTTATTCACTCTTAGGTTCGTGAACAAATGCGCCCACCAACCCGCTACAACAAAAAATACAAAACCATTTTGTCAAGGGTTATAAAAATAGCACAATTTCGTCTTTGTCAAACTCACAGTAAACCCTTACTTGATCTTCCTACAAACCCAGCTCTTTGATATTTTCAGGGGAGGAATCAGAGACTGCACGTTCACGGGTATATGTCATCAAATATTGGTACTACAATGTGCAACTTATTCGATTCTTTTCTAATTAATTTGTCTAGTTCATCTCTTGTTGAGTATTTTTTTTATCTGGGTCTTCTTTATTACCAGCCATGTGCTTCATCATCGTCTTCAAATCATTTGTTTTATATAATGGATGTTTTTAGCATCGCTTGTGCATGATCAGTCCAGTTATTAATGTGCTTTCTTTTAAGGTTTTTTTTTTTTTTTCTTTTCTTTTCACTTATATCAACAATTATTATGCTTTTAGTCTGAATCATCATTGTTTAGCTTGTTCTCTTTCAGACGCTTCTTGTTCGAAGATTTCTTTGGTTATATGCATTACCCTTTACTACTTTACGCTCTTTCCTTATGGAAATAATGGTTTTAGGACATATCAAGTTGAAATGTTTAATTTCTTATTTAGTGAATACCTAGTGTCACAGATCTTCATTTTGCTAATAAAATTTCGTTTTAGTTTGTAAAAAATCTGTGTCATTCAAGCATTAGAAACATCAGCATCACAATATCATGAAAAGTCGCTCTGGAACTACTGGTATATGTCCGCAGCTTTTTTGTTGTTTTGCAACTAGACGAAATGTATTACTTACTGTATTATCTCTGTACAGATGGATTATTTCTCGAAAATTAGAAGTGCATTTTGTTATATGAAGGATTTTTCCACTGAGATTCCCAAATCCATGGACTATTATTTGCCTAAGAATTGTGTTACTTTTTATGATTTCTTACCTCTAAGCACTATTGGAGAGTGAATAGGTTCTATATATATAAATATATATTGCATTTTGGAGATATGTCATCTTCATGTCAAAGCTGGTGGATGCATTCAAATATTGCATAAGAGTTGGTTGTTTGTGGGTCTTATTCTATGTTCATTGGCTGTATTGGATCTGTAATGCTGCGATTATCATTCTTATGAAATTATCTATTCAAGCACTTTTCATCTCTTAGCTTCTTGGTTCCTTATTATTCAATCCTCCTTATTATTTAATCCTACACTAGTTGGGAATTGTGTTGTGCAATTACTACTACTACAGGAACTGAGAAATATTTGTGCAAATAAGGATTGGCCTTGCTGGGCCTTGTTGTCATGGGTCAAAACCTTGCACTCAATATAGCCAAGAAAGGTTTCCCAATGTTTGTTTACAACTGAACCACCTCAAAGTTGATGAGACAGTTGAACGTGCCAAACAAGAGGGGAATCTTCCTGTGTATGGCTTTCATGATCCTGAATCCTTTATTAGGTCAATCCACAAACCTCGTGTCATTATTATGCTTGTAGAGTGGAGACTATATAATCAATGGTGGTAATGAGTGGTTTAAGAACACAGAGAGGAGAGCACGTGCCTTGGATGACTTAGGTTTGCTGTACCTCGGGATGGGAGTTTCAGATGGTGAAGAGGGTGCTTGTTATTGGCCTTCGTTGATGCCACTGGGTTCCTATAAGTATATCGAAGATATCCTTATCAAGGTAGCTGCTCAAGTTCCTCATAGTGGCTCTTGTGTCACTTATATTGGCAAAGGGGGATCTGGAAATTTTGTTAAGATGGTTCACAATGGGATTGAATATGGTGACGTGCAGCTGTTGCAGAAGCTCATAAATGCTCTAAAATTGGTTGGAAAGCTCTCCAATGAGGAATTAATCAGGTATTCACTGAATAGAACAAAGTTGAGCTCCTAAGCTTTTTTATTGAGATCACTACAGACGTATTTGGAACTAAGGATGTAAAGGGAGAAGGGTATTTAGTGGACAAGGTTTTGGATAAAACTGGAATGAAGGGTATGGGTAAATGGACAGTTCAGCAAGCTACTGAGTTGTCAATTGCAGTTCCCACTATAGCCTCATCAGCTAGATGCTAGATTCCTTAGTGGTTTGAAGGAGGAAAGAGTGGGAGCTTCCAAAGTCATCAAATCAAGTGACTTCCTAACTCATCAAGCTGTGGACAAGGAGAAGTTAATCACTGATGTGAGGAAAGCACTCTATGATCCAAAATATGTAGCTGTGCCATGGAATGAACTTGATACGTGCAAAGAGTACTGAACAGGGTGGAATTTGAAACGAGACTGCATTATTCATGCGATTCTCTAGGACCGTATTTTGAAGGCATATGACAGAAAACTGGATCTAGTTAATCTTCTTATGGATCCAGAGTTTGCTAAGGAGATTATTCAGCAACAATCTGCTTGGCGAAGAGTTGTCTATCTAGCTATTAACTCGGGTATTAGCACCCCTGGTATGTCTGAGCCTTGCTTTTTTCAACTCAAACAGGAGAGAAAGGCTGCCTGCTAATCTTGGCCAAGCTCAAAGAGATTACCTTGGTGCTCACACTTATGAAAGATCTAACATACCAGGATCCTTCCATACTGAATGATTTAAGATTGCGAAGCAGTCAAAGATCAAATTGAAGTATCCTGTTGATGGTAACCTGCTTTGAATAAATATTGCTAAACATAATAATGGTGCTCTTGTGACTTAGTGATCAGGTCTTTCATTTCTTTTCTTTGTCATATTATTTATCTCAAAGATAAGTTAGGAATATGAAATCTTTTTGGTTTGCAGATTTGTGTTTGTTGAGGTTTACCAGTAAGCTGCTGTGGCATAAAGTGTACACTAAAGGATTATGTTTTTTTTTTAAAGATAGAATTTAGTAGATGTATCAAAAAAAGGCACCAAGGGTGTACCGCCCATGTATAAAAGTATTACATATCTAAGAGAATATCACTAAAGGATTATGTTTATTTATTATATGTCTCTCTCAACATAATTACGCATGTTTTCTCCTTGTTTTGGGGGAGGAAATGGTGGTGGTGGTGGTGGTGGGGGAGGGAGGTGGGGGGAAGGAGTAGATTCTTTTAGATGTTTTTTGGTTGAGCAATGAATTATTGTGAAATTTCAAATTAGTATCCCTGCTTTTTTCCATACTACTATCCTTTTGTCATTTTAGTTTCTTTTTACTGTCAAGTGCACCTTATCCCCCCTGGAGAAAGCCATGGAGCTGTTGTTATGCCTCCCCATCATTTGGGTCAAATGTGTTAGAGTTTATTTAATCATGTAGATATGCATAGATGCTAAGTAGCCTTGATTATGTTCTTGAATTGGTTATTTAACATTTGGATATTGTTTACAGTTCCACAAGGGGATAATGATGGAGCCTAGCCCGCGAATAGTGTGGTTTTTCTAACTTCCTTTGTGAAACTCGAATTATTTGTAAAGAATAGTTGGAAAGTAGCTTTATGTCACCTTGTTGATTCCAAACCTCTGGCTCTATAATGGTAATCTGCAAATTTTTTCCAACTTGTAACTTCTGGCAAAGAACCTCTTAGCTGATTTGTTGAATTCTGTTCATGTTAGGGTCTTCCTGCTTCAATAAGCGAGATGGCATGTTAGGAAGGGTATCTTTTTAAAGAATGGATGCCTAATTTGTGGTAAATATTTAGTGGACCTAGGTTGTGGAATCTAAATGTGCTCTCTCTAAAGGTACCTGTGAAATTGCATTTGCTGATGCTATTTTTTCTGATATTTGATATGCTATCTTCTATTCATTTAGTTGCACAAATACTATGTACCACAACAATTATCAAAAGTGCATCTATATATGCTTGTGAATACTAAGAAGTATGAACACCATTAACAACTACATTTTTCAATAGGTGAACCTGTCCTCCAATAAGGGAAAGCCTCTTCTGCTTCCACATGTTCGAATCATCAAATTGTCAGATGTAATGGGAAATTCTTGGTGAAATATAGGAATTAATGACTGGTAAAAGAATGAAGTTACTTGACTCAGCAAAATTGGCAAACTATTTGTTAGTGTAGCATTAAAGAAAATATCAATTTGTGGTATAATATTAGACTTAGAAAAGTATCAAACAAACGCCATTCTGGCTTGAGGATTGTCAAGCCATGTTCGGAATAGAATATTTGGGATGCCTCGATCTATTGTTATTGTTTACTTGAAAATGATGCTTCGGTTTAATAATTAACAAGTTTAGACTTTATGTATCTCTTTTTTTACCAGGTAGGGATAAATTTTTAGCCTTGAATCTGTGATGTCTACTTTCATTACCTTATATTTTCCTTCAGTGTTCAAATTGTCAGGGTAGGATTCATTCACTTAAGCTGCTAGGTATATTGCGTTTTTGTATTACTCAAATGTGCAAGCGAACACAATATGCACAGACATTTTTGTCATATAGTATTGGATATATGACAGGATTCAACACGTCCAATACACACGCTGAAAGTTTGAAATAATTTCTGAGAATATACTGTTTTATATCTTATGAAGTAATATGGAAGTTGCCAATTCACGCAATTTTAGAGAGACGCGAAAGCGAAAGCCTATGGGGTCGCTTCTGTAACTGAATAACCAGCACTGAAAACCGTCTTTACATTGGATGGTTTGGTGTTTTGATGATCCCTACCTTATTGACCGCAACTTCTGTATTTATTATCACATTCATTACTGGTCCTCCATTAAATATTGATGGTATTCGTGAACCTGTTTCTGAATATCTACTTTATGGAAACAATATTATTTCTGGTGCCATTATTCCTACTTCTGCAGCTATAGGTTTGCACTTTTACCCGATCTGGGAAGCGGCATCCTTTGATGAATGGTTATACAATGGCGGTCCTTATGAACTAATTGTTCTACACTTCTTACTTGTGTAATTATGCTTGCAAATGAGCTGCTTCACCTTATAGAAATTTCTTTTGTTTAAAACATTGGTTTCATTGGTTGAGTAACCAAGCTCCATTTCTAGTCTGTGTTACAGTCCCTACTTATGGATCTTGTTATGGGTTGATGACCTCGAAAATCAATAGGAATTAAAAGTGCCTTTTGCGGTCTTCTTTTTGTTCCTATTTTGAACTAAAAGTAGGAGTTTGTTAAGAGAGAACCCAACAATCTTTGAATAAGAAAAAGTACTCAATTTTTTTATATTACATGAAAGGAGAAGGTAATTATTTTTCTAGAAGTTTTCTTCTTATCCAGAATTTAGTAACTACCTTTATCTTAATCTAGGCTTATTCTTACATAAGACTTACATATAATACTACTAACAAAACATACACATTTACAAAAAAAAAAAAAGTAGAAATATGAATAATTAATTTTTTTCGTAATTACTAAATTGAAATTAATTATTTTGCAGAATTATAAGTCCTCTGATCTTTCTTATTCCACTGTATGGCTTATAACAGTCTGTCTCTCTATTTGCTTCCCATATTCATAATTGGTAGTAAGGCATATTGTCTCTGCAGAATGACATGGGAATTCTTTTTCTACGTATTGGTGATTCTATCATACAGAAATGCCAGCGAAATTTCATCAGTAACTTAGTTGTAATCACAAAAAATTTGATGATGTTAACTTTGAAATGCCGTACTGGTGTAGGGTGGCCATGAAAATGAATATTTTCTATATTGTCTGCTGATGCCATATTCAAAACACAACTCAGATTTTGACAGCTTAGACACCCTGCTATTGGTAAGGTTAACATGGACTGGAAGCCGATTGTAGGAAAGATCACCAAGAGAAAAATCACAACTGAAATATATGAGATTTTGGATATTTGAGGACAGACCAAGAGAGAAACAATCATTCATTCACAAGATTTGCAATCTTTCTCTCCATTTAGAAAATGATTTCGTTGCATGATCACTTATTTTCATATGATATCAGGTGTAAAAGGTTCCCGTTCAAATCTTAGGACCTCTCTCTTGTTATTATTCCTCTATCTATTACCAGCAATTGGGTCTTCTTGCAAAGCCTGTTATATAAACTTTGGTTTCTTTTCGCTTGAGGGAGTGTACTAGAACATAAATAATAAAGTTGGTTCATTTTCTTTTAACTTAATCTTTGGAGGTATTATGTCATGCAACTCAATTATTTCAAACGTCATCTTTTAAAAAAAATGATTGAAGTCTTTTCTCTTTGACAAGTTTCTGTATGTCTCTTAAAGAGAATTTACTTGTTAATGGATCTATGAAAATTTTCAATTTTGCTGGCACTTTATTTTTGCTCTCCTTTATCTGTTTCCTTTTCTGAGTGCAAGCCTTGGCTAGATTTGTAGGGGCACACCTAGCAATCTCACTTGATTGTAAACCTTTTGTCTTGGTTGCCTATTGTCAGATCACAGATGTGTGGCTATTAGAACCATCTCAGAAACACGGTAGGGGCCTAAATGTAGCAAAAGTTGAAAGCCTGAGCTTAGATCTTTCTGTGGATGATCAAGAGGACATTATCTCGTTGTGCTTTAGTCTTTGTTCTGCGATGCTTATGCATGTAAAAGGACTTGTAGGTATACTCTTAAAACATTTTCTTCATGTTTAGAGTGTCAAACTGAATTACCAGACTAGCCAAGATAAGCAAAGAAGGTTGAAATTTACAAGATTTTTCCTTCATATGTTAATCGCATGAGCAAAAAAAATCATGAAAGGATCTCATGTGGGACCATCTAGAATAGTTTTCTAAATTATTACTTGCAATTTCCGAAATTCCTCACTTGTATAGAATAGAGATTATACAATTATTTCCAGTAATGATTATTGCTAGAATAGATGTCATATGTTGTTATGATTTTATTTCTTCTTTAGTTAAGATTCTAATTCTCTAAACGTTACACCTGATTAAATATTGTACTCTCATTAATTTGTTAGCCATAACAATACGAGTAATTCAACGTTTATTTTTCAGACTCCTTCTGAATAAATTAGATTCTTATTACTTAGCAACCCTCTTATTGTGGTTGTGACGCTCTGTCATTCTGGTTGTTATTGATTCTTGCCCTCTCTTTTTTATTCGGTTAATTGTTCTAGTACTTTTAGTCATGCAATGCAATTCAAAGATAAAGAAGAAAAGACTCCTTTTTGGTTATTGCTTGTCTGATTTATCTGACACCATTGAAGGCAGCATAGCACAGTTTAGGTTTGACAAGTAGGCCAACTTAAGCAACTTGGGGTCACTTTCGTGCATGGTTTTGATAGATCTTAACAGCTCATATTAGCATATTGATTTGCATCTGTTGTGCCTGTTGAAATTACGTTTCCTAGGTATTTCTACTTTTATTCATTTTCAATTTTAGTAAAGTCATATAAGCTCTTATTTACTGATAAAAAATGATAGTCTTTTCTTCTTCTCAGAAAAAAAAAAAATTCGGACCTATTCTTTTCCTCATGCATATTCTGTTATATTTCACAAAAAAACTAGCCATTTGAAATTAACATAAATAATATATAACATCATTTTTTTTTTATTGATCATAAATGATAGGATTGGGGCAAAATCCCACTTACGCATGTGTTCCTTTATTACACCTGTCATGTTATTTATTATTTTGTTCTCAGCTGTAAAACGGTTCCAACTTTTGCTTCTAGGCCTCTTTATTAGCAATACCTACCCAAGCCAGTACCCCAGTTTAGGAAACCTCTAATCTCCATGTATAACGTAATAGGATGGCTTTTACATTTAATGAGAAAAACAAGTGTAAGGTGGCTTTTGAAAGAGTAATATATGTTGGACATGATCGTCTTCTTTTGCAATTTCTGAGTTGCCCTGGGTTCATAATTGCTACATTTATCTGCACCTCTACTGTCTTTTCTCATGCTAGTAGAATATTTATTATGCCACCTAAAGTTATTATATTTGTAAGGAGATCATACATATGCTGCATAATGTTTCTTTGGAACAACAAAATAGAACAACGTTGGTGCATATATATTGTATATAGACATACAACTAGGCGGGGACAAGTTGATTATATGAGATATTAACTCACGTTGGACTTTGAAGCTATAAGCTATACTACCATACAAGATTCATGCTACAGATGCATGGACTGTTCTCTGCTTTCAATTACCTGAAAAACAGTAAAAGTACTGCTGTTCATCACTGTCTGGTAAGAGACCTTGAGGAAGTAGGAGAAACGTACTTCTTTTCCCATTTAGTTGGTTTTCCTCATCTTGGTTCCGCTTTGAACATGACTAGCGATACTTTTTGCCTTAATCACTGACTTTTCTGCTTGAGTTCGATGGTCTTTCTTCTTCACCGGTCGGTTAGGTTCTTGTTTTGAAGGATATTTAGTAGCTGCCTGCTTGAAGTAACCGATGCTAAGACTTTGCGTACTGCTTCCCCATGAAAGCTGATGACTTGGCCCGGAAGAGGCATCCGAAGCCATCGAGTCATCACTCTCGTTGTCATCATCATTTTGGTTGTTGTTGTAACGATTGTCTTTGCGGTAGTCATATGTGTGTTTATCAGTGCTTTGATTGTCTTGATCCGAGTCATAAACTTCATGGCTGGACGAATCAATATACATTGTCCACCCTGACTCACTGCTGCTATCTTCTTCTGCACCTCCAAGGATTTTGGAAGACTCCATTACTGTGGGAAGAGGAAGAGAATAGAATTAAAGAGTACAACACCATGAAATAATAGAGAGACAGAACTGATAAGCTAAAGCTCCTGAATTTCTATTATAAACTGGGATGTGCACACCTCATTACCTGAGAAATAGACTTGTATATCCTTGTCTCTCTGCTTGCTTCCTCTGTATCAACCAAATGCTGGTTTCCAGTAGCATGAGAGAAAGGAACTTCTCTCTCTCCCAAAGATCATAAATGGATCATTACTGGATACACGGAGTAAATTTTACCACATGGCAATCGTAGCACTCTTGTTTCCTTGGAATTGAAGTGCAACAGGACAAGCTTTAGGTGATACTCATAACATACTAGTCTAACCTCTTAAATATGAAAGAAGGAACTGAAGCAGCTCATTTGCTCATTTGGTCTCTTAACCGAAATACCACAACCTTTATTTCTCTGCCCATCTCATAAATATAGAGCAGCCTTTAGGATAGAAATCAGATGAGGCCCACTCAACAAACAGGAAGGAATATGACTCTATGAGACCCATTTTCTTAAATAAGTTAAAACAGTGCCTCTTCATAATTCCTTTAATAACCAATCCCTCCATTCCTCTATCTTGTCATTAAAAAAAAAGCAGCCTTTTCCTGTGAAAAATGAAGAGAACACAACTGGATTTTTGTCATTTTCTACCAGGTTAGATAAGAAGAGGTTGGAAGAAGGTCATTTAATGTTGCATTTTCTGTTTCAGTCTCACCTCTAAAGCAAGCTCATGTCCTCTTGTTACTAGTAGAAACATCTTGCAAAATAATAACTTCTCTTGATAGAGACTGTTCTTAGTTACGATTAGCTCACAAAAAGAAGCACCAGCAATTCATCTAACTTCTTATGATTCAACCACTTTTGTTGTATTTTTTCCAAATTTACATTACTGGGGTTTGGTTATTTTCTGTACCTTGATTGGTGGAGTAAACTGAATCAGCAAATGTTGAAAGATACCACATTCATCATTAAGTCGGCATCCGAAATTGTTCTCCACTGTTATTTTCCTTCTCTGCTTGCTACCTGGTTAGGCATAGAGACAAGAGAGGTCCCTTGCATCATTCTCTTACTTTCGAGTGCCTGTCCTTTTGGGGATCACTTGTTGATTCGGTTGCTCTATGTGATGGCCTCCATGTGAGTATATTTCTTTGGAAAATTCTCTTTTAATAATTAGACAACATGCTCAGAGTTTTGGGGCGTCTTTCATTGTTTTTCTTGCGTTCTTTTCTTGCTTTAAAATCCTTCCCCACAATTCTGATAAAGTGATTAAAATTTGTTGATATGTGCTTTCATGATCATACTGCTGTTGTTGTAGACTTAAAAAAGCCAGGTACTAAAGTTAAATCTGCAATTTTCATGTATTTTCTTTAAACCAACTTGAAGTTTTGTTTGGCTGAGGCCCGCCCTGAGCGGGTGACCGTTTGTTTCATATTCCATAGGCAATCAAAAACTTTGCCTACCCAGGTAACCGAAGAATTTTTCTACCAAGACTTACCCTATAGATTTACTGCAAACTCAGTGTAAATCTGGATAGTTTGAGAAACATGTGATTTTCAAATGGTGTTCTGTTTCCTCGTGGTCTGGTTTAGATTATCTGCAAGAAATGGCAATAGGAGCAATTAGACATCATTTTCAGGTAAAATAACGACCTCTTGCTTGATCGAAAAATAAGTTTAACATAACGTCGGTGACCATTTTCTTGCATAAATAAGAGGATTAGGCACAAATATGTTGGGTCTGGTCGTTTAATCATGTTTAAATTAGTAGATTACTTGTGCATGAATTATGGGTTATTGTTGAGATAATGCTACCTTTTAGGTTTGAGTAACTTCTTCTTTTTCTCCCATTTTTAAGCTTTTTTATTTTCTCAATCTAAAGTAGTAAAAGCGTAGATAAAAATTGTGCACTCAGTAGCAAACAGATCTCTTAGAGAAGGAAGGCTTAACATTAAAACTACAATCTCTCTGTGTCTGTTCTTATTCTGAAATAAGATGTAAAAATATTTTTAAGAGAAAAAGGAGATAAAGACAGCTTTTTAGAAATTGAAATTTAAGGTCACATGGGTATTGAAGATTGTTGGTTTAAATGGGAACATCTTTTTAGCTGCAAAACAGGGCGACCATATAATCTCAATTATGATTTTATTTTTCTCACAAAGAAGAGAAGAAATTCGTGCAGCCAGAATAAAATGATCTTTTCATTTTTGGTGGGGGCTTTCAATTGCTACTGCAATCATTTTAGAAAAATTATAATATAAACTACAGCATTGATTACTATTTTTAGAAAATATAATAATTTTTTTTTTATAAATAATCGTAACAAAATTTATGCTAAAAAATAAAAAAGCAAAATTGTGCTATAAATACAAGTACCTATCAGTATATATCTATGTGTGTGTGTGTGTGTGTGTGTGTGTGTGTGTGTGAAAATTTAATTTCACGAGCACATTAACTTTGACTGCGTTTAATACCATGTTCCTTTTGTTCTGTACACTTGTTCATGGCAGGTGCTTTTTCCCTCTTTTTCAAGTAACTTTCTGAATACAATACAATATTTTATATTTAACTGATGTGAAATATATATATATATATATTGATTCAGACGTATTCTACAGATAATTTTTATTTCAATATTAATTTGAGGTTAAAAATCAATTTTCAATTATAAGCATAAATAAATTTACTAATTAAATTAACCACTATATATTTATTTATTTCGTTTAGATTCGAAAATTTTATCAACCATAGCATTTGAAAGTCAACGAGAAGGGCGAAATAGTAGACCACTGGGTGAATGGTCAAATTAAATAATCAAACAAACCAAAGGGCAATTTTAATAATTATCAACAAAATCATCCTTGACCTTCAACTCACAAACTCAATCTTCAAAAACAGAGGTAACCCACCCGGCTTTCTGTGCTGCTGCTTGTATGTGATTCACGAGTCCCCCCACCCCGAGGCTCTGTTTCACCAAAATTTCTTTGGATCGGGAATCCTAAGCAAACTTTCAAATGGGTTTCACTCAGTTCGCCAAATCAGTCGATTGGGAACAAGAGTCCTTCCCAGCTTATCAAGATTTCTACGCCCTCCCCTTTTTTGCTCTGTTCTTCCCCTCTATTCGATTTTTGTTCGACAGATTCGTATTTGAGGTATTTCCTCTGTATGTATTTACATATTTTTGCTTATATGGTATCTCTATCTGTTTCCGGTTGGTTTTATCTTTTTATAGTCGTTTTTTGTGATTGTTTTGAGTATGATTGGATTCTCTTTGGTGGGTTTTTGAGATTCTGTATTGCCTGATATGGGATTTAAATTATTTTACTTATTGGGTCGTTTGTTCCGTTATTGGTAGTTAACTTATCCCTACCAATCCAATCTCTGTTATGAAGTTTTACTGCATCATTTTTATGGTTTGTAAATGACGAGGTTGTTATATGAGTCAATATTGAACTTTAGAAATGAGAGAACAAGTATGAACAAGATCTGGAATGAAAATACTGGAAAGAAAACAAGACAATGTTATCATGATATAAATTTTTTTAAAATTAAGTTGTGTTTACCTTATCTTTAGTTCACACTAACATAAAATTCTACTTTTTTTATTGTAAAGTGCCTTCAATCTTTTGTTTTGTTATAAATTAATGCTATCATCTACTTTGGATTTATGGCTAGGACCTAGCTTTCCAGTGGGTACTATACACCTGTTCAATAAAATCAGTTGTATTGAATTCATGCATCTGCCTAAACTTGGAACCTTAGTATTGACTGTGAAAGTCTTCTGACATCATTTTTACTTATTTTCCCACCCTCCTTATACCTCTCCTACTAGTTTCCGCTCCATAAATGTTGGATTTGACTTATTTCACCTTACCCTGGTTCTCAAAGATTGGTTACATTTTTACTTTCTTGAATTGAGATATTCAAGGATGAAATTGCGACTTGAACTTCTATTTTGTCATGCTTTGGCTTCTTTCTATGTTTGTCATTAATGATGCCTAATTTGGTACACGCCCTTATTTTGTATCTGATTCATAAGAGAAAAAGTTAGGACAAATAAGGAAAGAATAAAACAAATTCCTTCAAGTTTTTCATTTTTCTTTAGCTCAATGATATACATATGCCTAACAAGTGTGCGGTTGATCACTTATTCGTAAGGGGCTTGTCTTGTATGAATGGACTCCAAAGACTGCATTGTGATTCTGGATCTTTTCTTTGAGATGGCCTCTTTACTTCTATGATAAGTCAAAAGCTCATGTTGGTGCCAGGGATGGGAGATAAATACTTCATTTGTGAATAAAATTATTTCATATTGAAATTTGATTAACATTTTCAACCATTTGATTCTATGTTTAAACTTGGAATTCCGCTTGTTTACTTTTTGTAACATCCTCCTTGTTTCCCCACTATTTTGATAAACATTCTAACAATTAAAGAAATATAGGCAAAGGCTCATCCTTTTATTTCCACTTTTTTCTATCTTCACTTCTCCAAAGATTTCTATCAAAGAAATCTGAGACTAATTTCCTTTGTAGAAAGTGGGACGACGGTTGATTTTCGGAAAAGGACATAAGAAAATGAATATTGATACAGAAGATAGAAGGAAGAGAATCAAGAAATTCAAGGAGTCGGCTTGGAAGTTTTTGTATTTTCTATCTGCAGAGCTCCTTGCTCTCTCTGTAACTTATGATGAGCCTTGGTTTAAGACCACAAAATACTTTTGGGTAGGGCCAGGAGATCAGATCTGGCCTGACCAAAAAATGAAGTAAGATTTCCTCATTCATTTATGAACTATCTTTAGCTGTTTGATTCATTTTGGTCACTGTTGTCTTAACTCTATCCTTCTATTCATTCCATGTAGAGTAATGTGAGGATATCAGCTTTACAAACTCAATAGAGTGGCTGCCATGTTTCTTTGATAGGTTGAAATTGAAGGGACTGTATATGTATGCTGCTGGGTTCTACACATACTCAATATTTGCTTTGATTTTCTGGGAAACAAGGAGGTCTGACTTTGGAGTATCGATGGGTCATCATGTTGCAACTGTTATTCTCATTGTGCTGTCTTACATATTTAGGTATTCCCTGGTGGAATTTTATTTGTTTATTAGAAATGAAGTTCAATACAACTTTACGGGACTCTACACCTCTTAAACTGCTTACTCAGAAAAATATGAATTCAAGCGCACGCAATACATGCATATATCTTTTTATTTTAGGCTTAAAATTACTAGGTTAAAGTTTTGTGCTATGTTATGTTTGCCTCCTTTATTTCTTGCAGATTTGCTCGTGTTGGTTCCATCGTTTTAGCTCTTCATGATGCTAGTGATGTATTCCTGGAGATAGGGAAGATGTCTAAATATAGTGGAGCTGAAACTATTGCCAGCTTTGCATTTGTTCTTTTTGTCTTGTCCTGGGTCTTGCTGCGTCTCATTTATTACCCTTTCTGGGTTCTTTGGAGTACAAGGTTTGTTTAATTTGATGCCTATTTGATATTACTGTTGCAGAATTTTTTATCTCAAAAATTACTGTTGCAGAATTTTCTGATAGTGTACATCAGAATTTTCAGATAATATATACTGCAGATCACCCGTATTAACCTCTTTCTTTAAGAAAAATAAGGTGCTGATGATGTTAAGATAAGAAGTAACTTGTTCATATTAAAAAAAGAATGAGAAGCAATTGTTTAATATATGATTATAAGTTATACTGCCAGTTCTTAGCTTACTGTGCTGTGTCCCTGTGTTTGTTCAAACCAGAGTACTAAAGGTATTATGTGTATATATGCATAAACTTTGCAGATTCCCTTATTTTTTAATGTGCTTTCAGTATAAGACCTTTGTTTCTCTCATATATGTATAGCCAAGTGTTGATTGTTTAATGGCATATTTCTAATACTAGTTCCCCATGCCATAATTCTAATATTAGTTCCAAAAGTTATGCAAAGACTTGTGAATTATGGAAGTAGATGACTTCACCAGGTTATGCTTAGCTAAAAAACTGTGCTTGCCCTGACTTTTGCATGTGGACGTCCTAAAATTTATTTTCTTTGCCTGTATGCTTTTCATTGATTTACTTTTTAATCGTTCATGGCAGCTATGAAGTTATTCTGACATTGGACAAGGAAAAGCATCCTGTTGATGGACCATTCTACTATTATACGTTCAATACTCTTCTATTCTGCTTGCTTGTTCTTCATATTTATTGGTGGGTATTGATATTTCGGATGCTTGTGAAACAAATCCAAGCAAGGGGGAAACTTAGTGAAGATGTCCGATCTGGTGAGTGAAAATTAGGTTGGCTAAGATGGTTATTTAATACTCTTAGTCGGTTGGAAAATTTGATGAAAATGAAGATAATATTTAGTAATTAGAAAAAACTTGGATACACGAGAATCCACAGGACAACTGAGAATTTTTTCACATATATAATTATAGACTTAGTGTTGAACCTTCTGAAGAGATATCGCATAACCTGATATTATTAGAAGCATTGGGGATAACTTGATAGCTAACGATATCAAACCTCTACGTTTTGTTATTGGATCTTTAGTTGGACTCAAATCTTCTTTTATCATATGCAGATTCTGAAGATGAAGATGATCATGAAGATTGACCAGGAAAGTTTGTAGCTACCACTCAACATAACTGATGTGAAGGTAGCATGGCATTCGTTTAGGCACTCCATAGAATAGAGGAATTTGAATTTTAGTGTGCAAGAGGAAGACCAGCTTTGTGATGAAACTAACTGCATTACTCTTGGCGTAGGAATTTCTTGGATTGACAGAGAGACGTATTCTTTTATTGTTTTGTTGCAGGCAAGAACAGCAATGACTCCAGCCTTTGATTAATCTACAGCTGAAATGGAATAATTGTTGTTAGATCCCTCGAATAGTGGGAGGATTGGATACGTTGAATTGAGATGAGGAAGCATGTTGCTGAAGCAGAAGGTTGACAGGAATTAAAAGGAAGATTTTTCTTTGTTTTTGTTCTTGTCTTTGTTTTTTTTTGGTTGGTTTGTGATAGATTTGGGACAATAGGTTATGGTTTTGGCCACGAGTTACTTAATTGTTTGTAAAAGATTGAAAAACTTGAACCACAGCAAATTGTGGAGTTTTAATTAATTTATTAACATTTTTTCTTGTGCTGATATCATTTCTTCTAACTGCACTTGTCTTAATTCTTTTAACTTCTCTCCTTTCTTCTCTGGTTCAAAACATAAAAGCTTAGAATTTACTTCTAAAATTTAATTTTGATTTAAACTTATGAACTTTCTTATAAATCTGCTTTTTACCATTATGTTATCAAGAAATCATGTCTACCTCAAGTGATTCCTAATGTAGCTGAAATATATGAAACCAAAACCAAAACTAAAAATGGTGACTTTTTTTTAATTAAGGTTTATATTTATGTATATGATCCATTTTATATAAATTCAAATCATAAATAAAAATTTTCTAAATTTTACACCTTTGATAATGGCCTTTTATTAATTTTAATTACTTACATTCTAAATTATTTATTGTATAAACATAAAATTAGATGTTTTAATTAATACATATATATATTTTATTTGAACTTTTTATTCATACAATTCTGTTCAATTATTTTCTAAGAGGAATGTATAACCACCTTAGTTTTATTGGATTTGAATCTTTTCTGTGCTCTGTGTGTATCAAAATTCTATGGAGTTTCACAGTACTGAATTAACAATAAGAGAAAAAAAAAAAAAAAAAAAAAAGTCTAATACTTTAAAAATAATAATAGTTTACTTATTTCAAGAAAGAAGTCTTAAGTGGATCTAAGGGGAACGGGCTGAAATTTCTCAGGCTTTCATCTCCAGAGGAAAGACACGATTCTCGTTTGCTCTTGTCTGCACCACCTAGTTTGCTTGGAGGATCGTCAACTGGTACGTGTTCTTTCCCTTCTCTCTAAAATTTTCTCTTATCCGCAATAAAAACAAATGGGCAGTGGTATGATATTGCCTTCATTTATAATCTTCAACTCAATTCCGGCACTTAGCGGTAAGTTCACTGCGTATTAAAATATTTAATGTCAGTTGGGATTTGATTATGTCATTTTAGGATTTCATGCAGCCTTGATTATGAATTTTGGTTTCTGTTCTGTGATTTACTGTTCGAATTAGGTTTGGTTCTCGCTTTTATACTTTTTTTCAAAAAAAAAATAAAAGTTCTCGTTTTTATACTGAACGATAGTATTCAATGGTTATGAGCGCTCTCTCTCTCTCTCTCTCTCTCTCTTGTTTGAATATTGTATGTTAGTGTATTTCACTTCTCTTTATAATAATTAGGGAATGACTCTGGAGGGTTTTGAGGATCGTCGCCATTGATTTGCTCTGTTACTCAATGACCGAACTTAGATGATGCATCTTGACATTTTTTTGTGAGAAGTAGAGAGAGAAAATGATACACTTTGTGATGAGAAGAGCTGGCTATTAAATATGAGCTTGTGAATGTTCTTTTTACACAAGAATATAGTCCCTTTAATTTCCATTTGTGATGTGGTAATACACCTTTTTTCTTTTAGACATGAGCACATCTCCTAATGGTATGCCTCCTTAGTCCTTCCCACTTTATTCATCGGATCTAATGCAGCTTAGAGCAGACTTTCAATCATTACTAAACACACAAAAACACGCACGCTAGAGCAGACTAACAATCATTACTAGACACACGCACAAACATACACATACACATGTACTTAGTACTTCAAAAATGGTAGTTATACCTGGAAATTTACTCAACCTAGGGGAATTTGTGCGTCGTTATTGTATGGTCAATCTATTCAGCCTGCATAGACAATGTGAGTGGTTTATTAGACTGCAAATCCCCTCTAACTGGTCTATTTTGGTTCAATTCATATTCTGATTCAGTTATTATCATATTCTTTTACTTGATTGAGTAGGTCGTTATAATATTCTTGATATGTAGGACTGGATAATAATATTTATATTTGAACCAATTCTATTGGTCTTGGTCTATCTGAAGATGGACCTCTAATTCATGTGGTTAAGTAGGAATTAAGAATCCACCTATCTTGAATTCATTTATATTGTATTCTATAGAATTAGTATTTTGAATCAAGCATGGTCTTAAGGTACCTCAAATTTTGGATAAATACTGCTCATTGATGGTTTCTGGAAGTTTGTCCAAAACTGTTGTGCGCCTAGGTTAAACAGATAAACAATATACTATTTGGTCTGAAGCAAAAATGGAAGAATTTCTAGCACTTTGATCTTATATATATATGAAAATCATTTTGCACACCAGTTGACAATTTGACCTTGCCCCAATAGGTATTCAATACTGATTAGTGAAATATATTTGCTTTTGTAATTTGGCAGTGACTGAAATTTGATCGAAAGTAAAGATGGAAGATGTGCTAACTGAGATCCCTCCACCTTCTAGGTTTTTTCAGGATGATCTTAACAATTTTGCACCTCCTTCACCACCTGTTCCATCTCCCTTCCTTGTGTTCTCTAATCCTAAGCCTGAAGCACCTCTCCATCCCTCGCTGCTCATTGTAGCCATCTCTTCACCATCTCTGTATGTTTTTCACCATATGTCCTCTAAGTCATTGATTGGAAGTCTTATCATCCCTGAAATGCCATTCACAGGGAACTCAATTAAACCCTCTCTCGGGGACAAATCGTGCCATATCTATACTGTCAACAATGCCAGCAATTCAATTCTTCTTGTCTCTGTTCAGTGTCCTATCTCTGCTGAGAGATCTCACCTTGTTGCATCATTGTTAGTTGGTGGACAAATCATTCCTGAGAGAGTTTTGATATTGGATTCAATCCGGAGTCAGAACTTCAGGGGTAAGCTTGATCCTGATGAGACATATGCTTTCAAGCTGGAGACATCATTGGAAAGGAAAGAGCTGGGTCGTGACAGTGACAGTTCACCATTATTGAAGGGTTTGGACTATTTTCCATCAGGAAGTGTGATTGATGGCCTGGCTGCTGCTTTGTTGAGCAAATGCCAGATAAAGAATATTAAGGGAATGGTGTGTGTTTCATGGCCCGAGTTTGGTGCACCAGTTGTGGAGTTAGTTAAAACTCTGATACAGAAGAATGTTCTCCCTAGCTTGGAGTTGTGTGTACATGCGGAATATCGGAGGTGCAGCAGAACCAAGGATCATTATTTTGATTCTGAATTATATACCTGATGAACTGTAATTTGTCAACTTTCTATAAGTTTTTTTGAAGATATTGTACCCAGAAGGATTTTGTCCCTAATTGTTTTCATGTGGAATTTCATATGAACTCAAAATTATCATTTTAAGTACACGACTTTTTATTATGTTCTTTAGATTGTTTAAATGAATGATTTATAAATTTTTAATTTGTTCCAAATATTTGAAATTAGAATAAGAATTGAATGGAAAATAAACCAAAATTAACTTCTATTGCTGGTTTAATGGTTATATTTTGTAAACACATGTATTGGAAAACTGCTTTTCGATAAAAAGTGAAAATAGACAAGAGTACAAAAAACAGAACAGAAGGACAAAGGAAAATACTAACTATTAATTAATACTTTATGTAATCAAATGTAGAATTTAACGTGAAGAAAGCATCAAGTGAAGTTGATTGAGGAGTAAAATCAGTCTCTCAAATATCAATATAATATACAAAAGAGACATTGTTGGGTCATCCAACCAAGTTATCGATTCTTTTGAAGAAGTGGAAAAGGAAATGCATTGAGAACTGTCAATGAAAAAGAACCAATTTGGAATTGTTTATAGGTGCCTTTTAACTCAAGTGAGTACATATAAAAAAGAAGTTGACGGAGGAAAAAAGGGAAGAGCATACGTACATTAACTAGTTGTTATATATGATGTTGAATGGGTAAAATGGTTTGGTGACTTGCCCATGGTTAGTTGTATCCTCTCTTGACTCACATACACAAAGAAACCTCCAAATCTCCCATGCCTTCCCTATCATTAGTTACATTTATACATAGAAATATACATATATATATATATATATATCAGTCTCACCCATGTCTCCCACTCTCTAAATCCAACTTCGCCAAGCAAAAATGAAAAACATGGGAATTTGCTGGAAATGTGTGTTTGTGTTTGTGATTTTCATGACTGTATTTAGTGCATGTGAGCCTGAATTGACACTGGATTACTATGTAAAAACTTGCCCGGCTGTGCTTGACATTGTGAGAAAAGAGATGGAATGTGCTGTGTTATCTGACCCTCGCAATGCAGCCTTGGTTGTTCGATTGCATTTCCATGACTGTTTTGTTCAGGTCTCTCTCTATGTATATATACACACACACTCATACGTTTTTATAAAGAATACACAAATGTTTTAGGTTTTATATTTATATTTATTGGATTGGATAAACAGGGTTGTGATGGTTCAATTTTGCTTGATGACACGTACACACTGCGAGGAGAAAAGAAAGCTTCTACCAATATTCACTCTTTAAAAGGTTTCAGCATTATAGATCGCATCAAGAACAAGCTTGAATATGAGTGTCCTGGTATTGTCTCTTGTGCAGATATCCTTACAATTGCTGCTAGAGATGCTGTCATTCTGGTAATATTAATCATTTTATTATATATATTATACCAAGAGCGAATTCAGTAGTTTATAGTTTAAATTAAATTATTTAATTGTTGCAATTATCAAGGTTGGCGGACCATATTGGGATGTTCCATTGGGGAGGAAGGATTCTACAACAGCAAGCTATGATCTGGCTAACTCTAATCTTCCTACTTCCGATCAGCCTCTTCTCACCATCATTTCCAAGTTCCTTTATCAAGGCCTTTCTGTAACTGACATGGTTGCTCTTTCCGGTATATTCATCACCCTCATCTTAATCTACATATTTTGTTTCTAAGATTTTTGTCAACTCTGTAAGAAGGGTGTTATATCATCTGAAGTTAAAATGTTTTTAGTTTTAATCTGCATTCTTATAACAAAATGCATGTGTTAATTAATCAGGTGCCCACACAATTGGCATGGCTAGATGTGAGAATTTCCGGGCAAGGATTTACGGAGACTTTGAGTCCACATCCGACAAACTAAATCCGAACTCTCAAACATATGCAAGTAACCTGAGATCTATTTGCCCGACTGCTGGTGGCGGAGACAACAACATAACAGCAATGGATTACGTGACTCCGAATCTTTTTGATAACTCATTTTACCAAATTTTGTTGAGAGGAGAAGGGCTGCTGAACTCAGACCAGGCCATGTACTCGAGCCTCTTGGCAATGGAAACCAAGAGTCTTGTCACTAAATACGCACACGATTCAATAGCTTTCTTTCAGCAATTCTCGGAGTCAATGGTTAAAATGGGAAACATCACTAATCAAGACACAGGACAAGTTAGGAGAAACTGCAGATTCATCAACGCATGAAATCTACTAAATACTAAGTTGATTAAAACAAACGGGAATAATTATTTAATAGATTAAAAACAACAAATTGTCAAATATTTGTTTGTATCAACAACTGAAAATGAAATGCAGGGTTCAAGATTTATGCGCATGTCATGTTCTATTGATAAATATAATTGGTGTTATGTCATGAGCAATAAAAAATCTCGTATTCCATTTGCCCTCCTCCTCCTCCGTGTTATCATATTCTTCCAAATCTTAAAAGTCTTATAATGGAAATTAATAAATTCTTTCTTTTCAATAGTGCACATCTACACACTTTATTTGATATTTTTTTTTTATTTTGAAGTAATTTCATTTAAAGCTATCCAACCATATTCATTATAAAGTTTTTATTCAAGTTTTTAGGGAAATGTAATATATATATATATATATACCATTACATAATTATGATCAATCACTCAAATAAACTAATGTTAATGACTAAAATCATTCATTAATGATCAATATATAAACAAACCGAGATCAAACTAGGTGCCGCTAATTCATTACTAACACGTTACGACAGTCAAAATAATGCATGCTAATTAGGTTTATGGGGATCGTGGAATATTATTATTATTATTTTTATTTTTTTTTTTAATAAAAAAAAAAACATCCAATGAATTGCCTTACCGACTTTGTTTATTTGTAGTTTATAATATAAATCATTTAATTATTTTTTTAATTTTTTTTGGGTCAATTATCTTCAAATTTTCGTGCCCAAATATTCTTATTTCTTTTACCCACATTTATTTAAATGTCTTTAGAGTTGGTGGCATGTGCATTCAAGAAAAGTCTACGTCAATTTTCTTGGCATTTATCGTATGTACTTGTTGACTTTTTTTTTTTTTTTTTTTTGAATTAGTCCATATGAATGTGTCAAGGTTTTCAAACATTAATTTTACTCTCTCTCTCTCTCTCTATATATATATATATATATATATATATATATATACACACGTACCTGTATGTATACATCAAAGAACCAATCAAAATAATTGAAGGAATACAAAAACAATATCAATGTCTCAAAATTGTGTTCTTAGTTTATAGAAATTAAGGTAGTTTTTGAGTAATGTCAAAACAGTATTGAGATTCTTTAGTTTGGTTAATTAATTTTGAATAACTGGTTTTGATATGTATATATATTATAGATCAAATTACATGGATTTAATAGTTTTATTATATGTTAAAGTCAAAGTCAAATTCTCAGTCTCTACATATAATAATTTTCAACGCACCGCAATCGTCCTCGGAAACAAATTAAATTAAATATACATGATGTTAATGTGGTCTTTTTCATACTAATAAAACATAATTTATTTGGAAAGCTAATGTGTTGTGAATGAAATTAATGTTTGTGGGTTTGGGTTTATCAAAATTTCTTTGAAGAAACGGTCTTATTATTTAATGTTTGGATTCATTTATAAGCTCAAAATTTATGGTGAATGAATATTTATAGAGGTGATAAAGAAAATCTTCAAAGATATCCCTCCTAAGAATTTAACTCGAACCTTATCAAAATAATATATAAATATAAATATGTATAAAGAAAAAAAAGAAAGTGGGTGAATCTTACAATGATTGCAATCCCACTATTCTCTCTTATTTACTAAAAAAATAATAATAATAGAAAACGTTGCACTCAATTTGGATTCGTATAATAAAATTTTACATAATTAACAAAAAAGTTAATGATTATTTTTCGCTCAATTCTTTCCTAATTTTTTTTAAAAGAAAAAAAAAAAAAAAAAAAAAAAAAAAAAAAAAAAAAGAGAATCATGTTTGGCCAGGTTCATCATTTTAAACATGAACTACAATTTTTTACTTCAATTATTAATATGTTCATTACATGGAATTGAATTATTGATTTTACATTTTTAACCAATTCAATTGTGTTTTGAATATGAAAAAAGAGGTGGTAACAAATACTTTTAGGGTTACCACAAAGATTTTAGATTGAAGAAGAGACAGCTCTCTTGTGTTGCTTGTAGCTTCAAGAATTTTGCCATTATGGGAATTGAAATAAATTTTGACAAATCTTCCACCGCGTTTGGAATTTGGATTAACCCACCAAAACGTGCCCTCCTATTTTGTTATGCCTTTCCTATTCAATCTCCTCAAATATGCAAAACATTCCCAACCATTCACCTCCTACTTTTTACTTTTGTTACATAATAATATTTCAAGAAATCACATACAACTCCTTCAACCGCCATGGCAAAGTAGAAGTTGAGTGAGAGACTCGTTAAATGCTTACCCAAATAAGAAAATAAAATATTTACATTTATATTTATATTAAAATCTAAATTTTAAAACAAAATTCAATTACCGAATTAAATAGCTCTCCTCCTTCCTCCTTTTTCTGCTGCCAGCCTCCTCTTCTCGATAGTTTTTGCAGATTCTCTAGAATCTTACTTCCTAACGAAGCCCCGGAAAATCACATTTCTATATTTTCATGTTTGCGAATTAACCATGGAGTTTATATTGGCAAATTCAGAGTGACTCCCTAACCACACAAACAAAAACGAACTCGCTTTTGCAAGGTGAGTGTTCTTCCCATTTCTCAAATCGATTTTTTTGCATTGATTTTGATCTATATTCGCTTGCGGGTATCGTTGTTTTTGCCATTTCGCTATCTGGGTCATTACTTTTTCTTTTTTTTTTCCTTCTTCTTCTTCTTCTTCTTAGTGTCCGAGTCCGTTACTTGAACAATTTTGTTAGATCCAAACCGGCCGTTTGATGAAAGATTTTTTCCTCTCGTGGTTGCTGGATTTTGGTTCTTATGAATTTATATTTTTGTTAAGGTATTCTCTTCGTTGTAGTGTTTGTGTAGGTAAGTTTATTTGTGTTGCTAACTGGGATAAAAAAAATTACTTTATGCTTGTTATCCGATGGTTGTAAAAGTTTTCTTGTTGCCATTATTGAGCTTTACATTTCTACGGTTTTTTTTTTTTGTTCATGAGCTTTAGAAAGGTGATGACACGGTTCAGTCAAGAAAAAAGTAATCGTTGGTTGCAGGAGTTAACGATTCTTTTGCACCATTTTCATGTATCGGTTAAAAAAAATATAACTTATCTAACTATCGCGGACTCTAAATCAGTTAATGGTTCGCAGCAATTCAGTCCGACATAATTCATGAATTTCTTGGTTTGGTGCTGACAAAACAGTATGTGAATTTCATATTGTGAGATTCATAATACTTTTTGTACTTGTATGATGAAGTAGATTCACCATCAGTCTAAATTTCCTCAGTAAAACATTGGAGATGCAGGGATCTAATTTCCACATTATTATACATTAGAGGTTGCAGAAGCCATATCTAATTTATTTTTGGTGCTGTTTTTGTCCTGCACTAATGATTACATGTACTATGTATGATATTGGAAGCTGGCTCCAGGTTTTACCCATGCCAAGTGGCTGGCGACTAAAACTGAGTTAGTTGTTTTTGCCAGCTATATAGTCTTAAAGTTTATGCCTCCAGTTTAGGCAAAGAAATAAATGTTACTAAAAGTTTTATATAGCCCTTTTTTAAGGTGTAAGTTTATATTATTCTTAGTTTGGTACATTTTAGCTTGTGTTAATCTTCCTTAGTTTGTTTTACAGTTTAGGCCTTTTACTTGAGTGAAGCATGAATTTTTTGTCTGTACCAGTGACTATTCAAATTTCTCTCAAGATTTATCATTGTTCACTATTAGCTTATTTTTTCTACTTGTCATCAAAGGGAGTTACTGTATTTCAATGGCACAAGATACGAACGGTGCTGACTTGCATCAGAAGAAGCCAGTTCTACTAAAAGATCAGGTTCGTTTGGTCAAGAGAAAGGACTCTGATCGATATGAGGTTGTTCCAATCCAAGATCCTTTATCATTTGAAAAGGGTTTCTTCGTAGTCATCCGTGCATGCCAATTGTTAGCTCAGAAGAATGATGGAATAATACTGATAGGCTTGGCAGGCCCTTCCGGTGCTGGGAAGACCGTATTTTCTGAAAAGATACTCAATTTCATGCCCAGTATAGGTTTAATTTCAATGGACAACTACAATGATTCTAGTCGAATTGTGGATGGCAATTTTGACGGTAATATTTGTTCGACTAATTTTTGTGTCCATTTAAAGATTGATTTTTGTCTGCTGGGGTTTCATCTGTAGCGAGTAGCCCATTTATGGGTGGGATTCATGGTATTTTCAGGTGTAAAAAGAAGCTAATTCTAAGATCTTTTACCTTGAGACCTGAAATTTTTTTTATCACTGTATCACATGATCTACTTAATACGTAGTGCTCTTTAATTTAATTTGCTTCTGAAAGGTTATTGAGAATCACCTACTTGAATGTAAGAAATATTTACAAAGTTGTGTTTTTCAAGGATTTGATTGCTGACAATGGTTTTAAGAAAGGGCACTTGCAATCTCCTGCTTTGGATCCTTGAGGGCCTTTCTTTTGGAACCATTAATTGAGGTGACTATGAGGCGAGTTCTCATTGATGCCTAACTTGGTGTGCCTGAATATTCTGTCATTTTCAAGTAGCGTGTTTCTGATTGCTTAGAGAAGATCTGATATAATATCTTTCTGGAGTAGTTCTGCAAACAAATTCATATAATATCTGAATGTTGTTTCTCCTACTCTTATTTGTGGAAGTTTTTGCTTTAGGATATTGGTGTAAGTTGGAACTTATATGCCAATTTGTGATATTACAAATACCTGTAGTAGGGCTTGGATTTCATAACTTCCATTGGTGCAATACATTACCAATGCACTGCAGGAAGTTATGAATTTAGGTTTTCCCATGAACTCAAGAAGATTATAGCTGGCTATAAACAATTATAGTGTTATTTCTTTTCCTTTACAAGAAGCAAAACGAGGTGAATGGAAAGTTCAAAATAGTAGGACAACTCCTCTCTCCCACTCCTTACTCCCTACTCTTTGTTTGACTATAGTCTATTGGGAGCTCTCCTTTTCTCTATGCATTTTCAAATATAAGTAGCTGTCTTATCTCTTCTATATCTCATCTAATACTTAATAGTATAAACCTCTTCACTGGATTGAAGCTTGAATTTGTTCAGACCATGTATAGAATTTGATTTTAGTATGGCCAAGTGATTTCCGGACAATAAAAGGGTCATAATAGGTACTTTTGCTTTTGGTTGTGCTTTATCTTTCACTTCACCTGGGTTTCCTTTTGATATTTTCAAGGGTGAATGGGATTTAAGAAGTATTAGCCATTATGTATTTGATATTATACATATAGATAAAATCTTTAGTTGCTTTACTCGGTCCAAGTGTTGTATATGTACCCAGCGAATTTGAGTACTGGTGCATGAATCCCAATCGACACTTTCAAACATTTTCTTTAAATTCTTCAGTGTGTTCTTTGTATTGTTGATGGGTGGTTTCACATGAAATGAAGTACAACAGTGTTATGCCTATTGATTCTAAGATATTTGTTGAAACAGACCCACGCTTGACAGACTATGATACGTTACTGAACAACCTGCGTGATATAAAGTCTGGAAAGCAGGCCGAGATTCCTATATACGATTTCAAGTCCAGCTCTCGCATAGGATACAGGTTTGACTATGCTCTTCTTTTGCTCACTAGTAACTCTTGCTTAGGAAGCTATTAAGAATCAAGTTTCTTCATTGTCCTGGGATAGGATGGTGATCTTTGCCCCAGTATGGGCTAAGGCTCATGGTTTTCTGGGGTTGTTTCTTTGTCTATTTTGCAGTAGGATTTGGTTGGCTTCTTGTATTGATGAATCTTCTATACCCCTTTGTATTTTTTCCCTTTTTTGTTGGAGGATACTTATGCTCCCTTTGTGTACTAGCTTTTTCTCTGTCCAATAGTTCATTCTTTTCTAATAAAAAAAGAAAGTTTTATTGGGTGTTTTTGATTCAACAAATACAAGTGTTTCCTTACCACATAGCTTGAATATGAAATCCTTTAATGGCATTATCTGTATCTAGCCAACAGCCCTCTGCAAGAAATGAAGGATTCATATTATAGAGATCCAATAAAGCTGTTAGAATCGGTAATGACTACATAACACAACCTTCCTCCTTTATCTGGGGTTTATGCTACCTATGAGGATAAGACTCTCAATAAGCATAGTTGAAATCATCCAAGTATGTTGAACAGTTTAGAAAAGCTTTATTTAGAATATGAAGTCCTAATTATTAATTTTGATAAAAGGGATGTCCTGATTATTATAAGGTGTTCGGTTGTTGGTTCCTTTTTCTCCAACCTTTTTTATGTGGGTTATCAATTTCAAGTATTACAAATATCTCTTTTCTCTATATTGTAGCTTGAAACTAACTACTAGAGAATTAGCTGATGGTCAATTGCGATGTGTTACTTTTCTAATATCTTGATACAAGCTTGTATTTTTGACAGGACACTTGAAGTTCCAAGTTCTCGAATTGTCATTATTGAGGGCATCTATGCCTTGAGTGAAAAGTTGCGACCTCTTTTGGATCTTCGAGTATCTGTTACAGGAGGAGTCCATTTTGATCTTGTCAAACGGGTTTTACGGGATATACAGCGTGCTGGACAAGAACCAGAAGAGATAATCCATCAAATATCTGAAACAGTTTGTATTTCTTCTCTCTATCTTATCTTCCATCCTCAGACAGCTTTGAGGCATGTTTCTGTGATACTTAATTCTCACAAGTACTCAGCTTACTCTTAATGCAGGTATACCCAATGTATAAAGCCTTCATAGAGCCAGATCTCAAGACAGCACAGATAAAAATAATCAACAAATTTAATCCTTTCACTGGTTTTCAGAGTCCCACTTATATCCTAAAGGTGATTCTTTATATATATTTCCAATTTTACGGTTACCTAATACTAATTGCTTTCCAGCAATTTCAGCATTTTCTGCACTGATGTTTGACTGCTCTTTTTTATTGTAGTCGGCACGAAATGTGTCAGTGGATCAAATCAAGGCTGTTTTCTGTGAAGAACATTCCGAAACAGATGAGCAGACTTATGATATTTATCTTCTTCCTCCTGGTGAAGATCCAGAATCATGCCAATCATATTTGAGGATGCGGAATAAAGAAGGGAAATACAGTCTCATGTTTGAGGTTTGTGCCTTGAGATTAGACTTCTAATATATCACAGATGACTTCTGGGTACGTGACTGTGAGGCATATTTTGTGGTCCATCTGTTGTTTATTTGATCTAGGTATCAGTTGCTCTATAGGAGTGAAGGTTCTACACATATATGCACAACCATGTCTAATATGTCATTTATCTCCATTATTCTTGACATGTCATTTGCCTCCTATCTAAACGTGTTAGGTCTTAGGTCTCAGAATTGCTAGTCACTTGCCTCATGGGGATAAAATTTTGTAACAGTATATGGTTTGATAATTATTGTGGTATATGGCTTAATACTTCATTTTTCTGATTTTACAGGAATGGGTGACAGATAATCCTTTTGTCATATCGCCAAGAATTACTTTTGAAGTCAGTGTGCGCCTTCTTGGGGGGCTAATGGCTTTGGGATACACTATAGCAACCATTCTTAAAAGAAACAGTCATGTTTGCTCAGATGATAGGGTGTGTGTAAAAATTGATTGGCTTGAACAATTGAATCGGCAATATATTCAGGTATTTCTTTATAGCCCTATGACTTAATCTGGTATTTTGCAGGTTCTTAGTTGCGTTTTTAATAACCTTGCAAGGTTGTATGTGCAAAAGACTTGTTCTCATATAGGCTCTCTTCATTGTTTTTTTCATAGGTTGAAGGATGCTCTATTTTTCAATTTCTTGTTCTTTTTGTGGGGAAGTGCCCACTGTCTGCTTACACTTGTGATCACAATGTTCACTGAGAGTAACCTTGTGGAGAATAATATTTAAATTAAGATTGTTCTGGTAAAAGGATGGATATGCTCTTTTTAATTTGTATCTTTCTATTTGGTTATGCTTAGAGAATTATGTAGTATTTGTTGTTTCCTAGTTTATTAAACGAAGAAATAAGGATACTTCCACTTTCAATCAATACTCTTGTGTTTGAAATTGCATTTATATGTTGTTGACTGAAAATATACTCGCCTATGTTAAAAAGGTCCAAGGAAAAGACAGGTCAGTTGTACAACATGTTGCAGAGCAGCTGGCTCTAGAAGGATCATACATTCCACGAACTTATATTGAGCAGATCCAACTAGAGAAGCTCGTAAATGAAGTTATGGTATGAGTGACTTCCGAATGCTTAAGATCCTTTTCCTCCTCATAGTCCTAATCTGATGATCTTGTAGGCCTTGCCAGATGATTTGAAGACAAAGCTCAGTCTGGATGAAGATCTCGTGTCAAGCCCCAAAGAAGCACTTTCTCGAGCTTCTGCTAGGAGAGTTGCTTTGAGAAATAAGAATCTCAGAAGGTTTGTTATCTAATAGATCTTGATGTATTTTTGTGAAGTTTTCTGACTTTGTCACACTGCCTTGTGTGCTATGACTAATGGACTGACATTTGCAGTGGTATGTCACATTCATATTCAACTGAAAGGGATAATAATCTGTCAAAGCCTACTGGATTTGCATTGAAAAATCGGAGATTTGATGAGAGTAATCCGGAGTCTCAAACAAATGTAGCAAACCAGGTACCTCCTAGTTATATTTCTTTGTTGCTTTTATTTAAATTTTCTGATAAAATCGATCAACTCAAAAATTTCATTGATAATCTTTCTCATGTTGTAGGGAGCTATCACTCAACTTTCTGAACAAATTTCCTCACTAAATGATAGGATGGATGAGTTTACGACTCGGATGGAAGAGCTAAATTCAAAATTAAGCTTCAAGAAAAATTCTCCCAGTCAACAGAATATTGCCCTCCAAGCCGAAGCCTGCAATGGCTCTGCTCCCACTTCTTACTTCATCTCTGGTTTAGGCAATGGTTCACTGACTGGATCAATCATGCCTAACTCTTCCTCATCATCCCAGTTGGTTAAGGAATCACCGTTGATGGAGGAGGTGTGTAGCTCATGTCTTCTATCATTTTATTTTTCTAAGTTGTTATGATTTTGTTAGAGAATAAGAGTACTCTTATAGGGTAATTTTTATATTGTCAGTTTTAAAATAGTTAGTTTCCTATTCTCAGTTTTCCTATTCTTGTCAAAGATATGTATCTCTTTAGATAACTTGTACTGTTTTTTTAGCATAATAACAAGCTTAATATCTTAGAACTATTTTAGTTTATTTTTCTGCATTGTATCAATCAGGCATCAAAACTTTTCTAGTGCTTACACCTGTTACTCATCCTTTGTCATCCTTCTAGCCATCTACAATTAAATAGAAGAAAGAAAAAGAAACAAAGATCACTCTGTAATTACTTTCTAATTATCTTCCTTGTGCATGCTCTTCGATTTTCCATTTTGTCTTTCAAAATCTTAGCAATATTATTAAGTAAATAATAAATCGCTTTACCTGGAGCTTGTTTTTGTTGTTGGCACCACTGCTCTTTACTGCACCCATAATGTCTGAACGTCCTAGCCACCAAATTCCAATAGCTACCTCTGTCGGGAAGATTGAAACATCCTGTTGAAAAGTCACAATGCTGTTATCATCATAGCTCTCCACCTTCCCGGCCACAATGTGAGCAGTGAATGCTGACTGCTTATCTTAGCTCCTCTCTGTTAGACAAGTCATAGGCTTGAAGATTGACCCATTCTAATGATTGGAAAATGCCATGTGACATGCTGATATGAATGCCAGCATGGGTAGACTTGAGCAGTTCAATCTTTTTTGACCTGTTTAGCGTTGTTTGACTGGTTTAGACGCTTTCAAACTGTTCTCACACTGATCAGATTGGTTTCTAAGACTTGCAGAAATTGATTTTTCAGTTTTCATGGTTAGTTTGCTTAAATTTGCTCTCTGCCCCAATAGAGTAAAATGTGGCACATTAGGGCTACATGTTTAAACAAACAAAAGTTTGTGATAAGTCGTGAATGCCTATGACTTGTTGCTTATGGAGAATTAAGACTAGATCTTATGGTCCTTTTAGAGTTTGCTGTTTAGGGTAGTGAGAACTAATTCTACAAAAAATTGTGAATTTTCAAGAGCTTCTTGCTCGTGGAAGATGAGTTGCTTGCTTAAAAAATAGTTTGTGATAGTTGTTGAAGCATGAAGTATGTGAAAAGTCGGTTGTTCATTGAAGTCAGGGACAAGGTATTTGTCAAAGATGTTCTGTTATCCAACTGATAGTTGATGACTTCGTTGTTGTTCGATTGAGCTTTTGTTCAATTATGTTTCGAGCTTGTTACAAGTGGTGGTTTGTGGAACATATCAAGTAAGAAGTTGTTTCTTTGTTTAGTTAGCTTTTTCTTTCTTTCAGATTATCTGTAGCATCTCAGGCCTTGAAGTAATCTTAGTGCATGGGACTAGATATTTTATTATACTGTCTGCATCATAATTTAGGCTGCTGCCAAAGTTGTTTATTTCAAGTTATGATTTGCCACGTAGGTGGTGAGTTATTATTCATGTCTTGTTGCTGATTTCTACTTGGGTGATGCTTGGTGTTGCAGTTGTAGTGATTGCAATTCTTTCTATTTTCAGTGATGAAGTCATTGTTTAGCTTTTTTAGTAATCAGCTTTTAAGTCAAATACATAGTTGGGGGGCCCGAACATATTTTCTGTCATTTTTCCTCTATATGCTTTCTTGTTTATTTTCTGATCCTTGGGAATCTGTATAAAATCAGATATCAGGAATTGCGAGAGGACAACGTCAAATCATGCATCAGTTGGACAACCTGAGCAATTTTCTTCGCGAAAGCATGGGACAGAAGTCTCGACAAGAAAGACAGGGCAGGAAAAGCATAATTTCTGATGTTGAACCCATTAAAGTTCCTCTGATGATAACACTGGCCATAGGTGGTATAAGCATAGTCTTATTCAGGGGCTTTTTAACCCGAAGTTGATTCACCTTTCCTAATGTTATTTAGAATTTTGGGGTCCCCCCAGTGCAATGCAACCCTTCTGCTCGGGAGAGACAGTTGAATTGATGAACTGCTGATTGCTTAGGAGGCAAATAAGGGCTTTCAAATTGAGTATTTTGTTTAAGAAGGGTGCTTTGGCAATTTTTTCTTCACTTCTGGGGACCTGCTTAGGCATTTTCCAATACATTATCAACCTTAAATTTAATATGAATAGTATCTGTAGGTGGAAACTACATTTATGTTTTAGAAAATGATGCTAAAAACCAGTACTATATGCTTAAACTGTATCTCTCAGTTATCCCAATTTCTCTCTCCAAAAAAGTTCTAATCTTTTTGAGTTGTGAAATAATCACTCTTTATGATGTTCTTCATTCAAAATTTTGTTGTAACACTAGGGCCATGAATTGGGATTAGGAGAATGCATTTAGGTTTTGATGTAGATTTGAAGATAAAAAAAAAAACCCAAACATCTTAGTAAGTTACACATTTAAGAATTTGTGAGAATTTTTTAAATTACTTTGTTAAATATCAAAAGAAAATATCATAAAGTTATTCAGTGTTTTTGAAGAAATTAAAAAAAAAAAAAAAGAATATAGATTCATTAAAATTTAATTCATTATATTTTTAAATTAAAAATATATTATGATAACAATTAAATTATTTTAATAATGATTCGAAAGTCGATGCTACCCATATCAAGGGCAAAACGGCTTCAATTCTGTCGTTTCACGAACCACAGTATTCCTCATGTATAAAAGGCCGCCCCACCGACGTCCGACACTCTTCGTCTCGAACGGAGAGTTGATGGAAGCCAAGAGGAAGAAGCTAACGTAATACTGCTTTCACTTTTGGGAAAATCTATGGTAAGTTGTACGATCGATTCCCTGCCTCACTTTCTATCTCATGTTTTAACTATTCTTCGTATTCATTCAGCCTGATCTAATTCTCTTGACCCCAGCCTGATTATTCAACCCCTCTCTTGATCAAATCTTTACGGTGTAGTAAAAATTATACATTTTCCCCCAGTCTTGGTTTAACTAGCTTTTTATTTATTTGTTCTTTTTATTACAGTTCAAAGATCATTTATTGATCTTGAGTTCTTATATTTTCAGTAATTTCTCCGGTTGGCTGCTTAGAAAATTATGGGGGGAGGGAGGAAGAGATAATTGAATGTAATACCTCATGGGTGTTTGCGCCTTGGTTTCTTTTCTAAGAAACAAGCTTGAATTTTTATATGGTAGTCATTTAGATCGTGGGCTCTGCTTCTTTAGGCTCTGGGGGATGAAAATGATGCAATTCCTTTTGCGTGTGTGCGTGTGTGTGCGCGTGTGTGTGTGTGTGTGAATTTATCAGTTAACGATACGTGGGTTATAAGACTATGGCCTTTATATAACACACCAAAAAAAAAAAAAATATCCCAACTAGAACCATTGCACACACAAACAAAAATGGATTTTTGAAATTTTTCCTTGTGTTTTTTTCCCCGATTTTTAAGAATAGGTTGGAAATGTGGCACTGCTTTGCTTATTTAGTTCAAATTACAGATGGGTGATGCTTCAGCTCAGGATTTGGTAAGCGATTTGCCTCAAAGCATTATAGAAAACATCCTAGAGCGCCTACCCCTGAGAGATGCAATAAGAACTAGCATTCTTTCTACCAAATGGAGATATAAATGGTCTACGCTTACTCAGCTTGTATTTGATGAAAAGTGTGTCTCTCAGGCAAATGACCCTAGGTCAGTTGAGCTCCAATTGGTGAAATTTGTCACTCAAGCTCTGTTTCTTCACCAGGGACCGATTCACAAGTTCCAGCTTTCTACCTCATACTTGCAATGCCGGCCAGATATAGATCAGTGGTTGCTTTTCCTTTCAAGGAATGATATCAGAGAATTAGTTCTTGAATTAGGGGAAGGAGAATGGTTTAGAGTACCTTCATGTCTTTTTAGTTGTAAAAAACTGATCCGCTTGGATCTTTGTCGTTGTGAATTTGATCCACCTCCTAGTTTCAAAGGGTTCTTGTACTTGAGGAGCCTCAATCTTCACCAGGTGTTGGTTGCTCCTGAGGCAATCGAAAGTCTTATATCCAGTTGCCCTCTGCTTGAGAGTTTAGCTATATCATACTTTGATAGTTTAGTTCTTAATATTCGCGCTTCAAATCTCAAGTATCTGTCACTCGAAGGTGAGTTCAAAGATATTTTTCTTGAAGATACGCCATGCTTAGTTGCGATATCCGTCGCTATGTATATGACTGATGATATTGCTGAGCATTTTGAGCAAAGTTCAAATTGCAATTTTATCAAATTTCTTGGTAGAGTACCTCACCTGCAGAGACTTATTGGCCATATCTACTTCACAAAAGTAACATTCTATTATGTTCATTTCTGGTTTTGTTAAGTTGATTTGTTTTGTTTTTGTTCCAGGGTTTTTGAACTTTAGATTGATCAGCAGTCACATAAAGCAAACCCAGTTACTTATTTTTCTCATACTTGTATTGGTTTTTCTTTTTTGAAGTATTTGAGCATTGGTAATGACCCTGGAGAACTTCCCATTACATATAGTCATCTAAAATTTATAGAACTAAATCAAGTGAGTTTTGAAGACATGAAGGAGGTGTTAGTTGTTGTTCGCTTAGTTACCCACTCTCCTAACTTGAGAGAACTTCAGATTTCTGTAAGTTCTGGTTTTTCTTCGTTTTTTATTATTTATTTGTTACTTCCTGGTAATAAATTATAACTACCGTGTAACTGTCATCTATACATTGTTTTGTTTAGGGTTCCTCAAACACATTGGCAGGTATAGAAGCACCTGATTTGGAATTTTGGAACGATACTTGGCCTTCAAATTGCACACTGGCCAAACTTCAAGTTGTAAAGATGACAGATTTATTTGGTGTGCCCAGTGAGATGGAATTTGCCAAGTTTTTGCTTGAGAACTCCCCAGTGCTTGAGACATTGAGCATCACTCCTTCGGCATATGTTACCAAGGATGGAAGAATAGATATGTTGATTGAGTTTGTGAGGTTTCGGCGTGCTTCTCCCCTTGCAGAGGTTATATTTACTGAAGATTGAGGGATTGTTTGGTCCTTGTAAAGTTCCTCTCTTCTCCTTTCTAAGGTTTTCTCCACCCTTTTTTCTTCAGCGGGCAGGGACTCCATTGCACAGTTTGCCTTCCAGTTCCTTTTTATCATTTCTATGTGAACTAATAGCTTTATTAGTCCATAAAATCTGACCATTGACCATATTCTTTCAATGAAAATATTCATTTGAGGGTCCTGTCCTTTACTGCTCAGTATTCTTATTTGTATTAACTTGTTATACTTTATTTATTTATGATTTGATAACTGTATCCAATCATAAAGAAAGGACACGCTATACAAAAAAGCTTTGAACCTAAATTATACCCAAGAGTAAACAGGAGCTAGATTTTCGCTCTGACATCAAGATGAGAATATAAGAATTATGCAAATCTTGATTTGGTATTTTCCGTTACATTATAGCATTCCTTCAGTCTCCAAAGATCAACCTTCACGAGGGCCATCTTGGCTTCTGAAGCTCTAACCCACTCTATGTGAAGTACTAGTAATACATGATCATAACTTGAATATTAGGGTTTCGAAAGTTCTCTTTGGGACTCTTGGACAATGAAAAATCTGTTGAAAGAGGAAGCAGGATTCATTCTAAGGATAGTATTATTACAAGTCAACCCTGCAGAAACATCTCCAGAACATTTCCTCACTCACCAGAAACAGGACATGTAACGTTCACCTTAAATGTCAGTTTCACAAATCCGAACCTGTACAATCAGGTATTTGATACAATGGTTTAGAGCTTCGATATGATTCTACTATACAAGAAACTCATTTTTAGACATTGCTGTTAACAGATTGATTGCATTTTTCTTCTTTTTAAGTTTATAATTGAGCTCCTAGTTTGCTGATTATCACCTGGGACCAGAGAGCTCCATTGCTTGAACCAGCAACGAAGAGTCATCCGTTAAATCAGAATATCGCTCTGAAGATGAGAACTCATTGGCTCTGGACCTGTTTGCTTCAGCTCTCTGAGAAGCTTCCCATTTCTCTGCAAGCCCATCTCCTTCGAGCATCCGAACCACTTCAGACATTTTTGGTCTGTGACTAGGAAGATATTGTGTGCATAAGAGAGCCACCTGAACCATTTCTTCTAGCTCAATTCTGTCGTAATTAGTTTTTAAGTCCTTGTCAACTAACATCTCAAGCTTCTTTTCTAGGTGAATTTTCTTCACCTGCAATCAAGCATCATAGATTTAATGAACAGGAAGTTCAAAAAATAAAAAATAAAAAGACAGTTTTTTTTTTAACTCAGAGTTCCTTTCAACAAGTAAAACACTTATGAATAGCCGAGCTCACCCAGTCGAGCATGGCTCCTTTCTGGTTTGCTGTCTTTCCAAATTCTAGAGCTCTTAAACCAGATATCAGCTCGAGAAGGAGAATACCAAAGCCAAAAACATCAGTTTTCTCTGAGGATTGGCCTGTTGATAAATATTCTGGGGCTATGTGCCCTACGGTCCCCCTCACAGCCGTTGTCACATGTGAATCGCGATGATCTAACAGTTTTGCTAGCCCAAAATCTCCCACTACAGCCTCACAATAATCGTCGAGCAATATATTTGCAGCCTTAACATCCCTATGGATTATCTTGGGGTCACACTGCTCGTGCAAATACAATAATCCCCTAGCAGCTCCTAAGGCTATTCTTTTTCTGGTACTCCAATCCAAGGCTGGTTTAGCTGCAACAAACAAAAATTGCACACATCATCATTATGATAAAATTAATCTTGAAAGCCTTAATGTCAGAGGACTAGTTACAGTGGCCTTACCTTTCAAACGAGAAGCAACACTTCCGTTAGACATGTAAGGATAAACCAGAAGCCGCTCTGTTGCAGTCATACAGAATCCATAGAGGCGGAGGAGATTTCGATGCACGGCAAGACTGATCATCTCAACTTCAGTCTGAAATTGGATTTCACCTCCAATGGCGTTTCCATCCTTAAGTCTTTTTACAGCTACAACTGTCCCATCTTGGAGATACCCTTTGTAAACATTCCCAAACCCGCCCTTTCCAACCAGGTTCTTGCTGCTGAAATTGTGTGTGGCAACTTGAAGTTCTTTGAAATGAAACCGCTTTAAATTTCCGAGGCAAATTTCTTCATTATGATGTTGTTCTGAAAAATGTAGAAAAGTAAGTTAGATTTATTTCTGTCCAAGTATTTGGTGCCTTCTTTATGTGAGTCAGTGCATGTCGCATTCACCATTAACATCAAAGAATATTTGTTGATTATGTCTTCGTCTCCACCAAAGAAGAAAACCAAAGCCAGGGATTAGCAGGCAGATACAGCCCAAGGTTGAGCCAAGGGCCAAGGCAAGTTTGTGGCTTTTGGGCCGCTCAGAAGATTGAGAATCTAGAAAAGAAAAAGAATGTTTGCATATCAGAATATATTCAACTTGAAGCATTCCCGATTTGAATTCCAAAAGCAGAAGCCGAAAGTTATTCAAAAGCAATAAACGGAATATAAACATATATATATATATATATAAATCTAAAGAGGGTAATGGCTGCAGAAACTTCTAAATCTATAAAATCACTTGAGGATGTTAAAGTAACTTTCTTTTTTAATTGGAACAAAGCAGTTTGAAGGTTTATAGTAATGAACAATACTTGGAAGAAGCAGCGAGTGAAATTACTTTGAGAGTTATTAGTAGAAATGAACATTGGAATTGGTGTGGTTCCATTGCAGTCCTGCTCAGTTCCAGTGGCACAGATCTCAGGGTTCCCTACAATACTGTGTCAAATAAAAGAAAAACGTGTAAATTGCAAGTACATCAGGAAACGAACAAGACAAGCTTCGATGCTGGAATTAGATATGTTTACTTGAACGTTTTAGCACGCAGCCTTGGCACAGGAGCACTTAAATTATTGTAAGACAGATCCCTAAAAACCCACATAACTGGGAGTTAGATACGTAGACTTACATCCTTAAAATAACATGTTTTGGAGAAAAAGTTTGAAGAGAATTACAGAAAAGTAAGTTGGGTCATGTTGGCTAAGGAGGCAGGAATTGCTCCAGTAAGACTGTTATTGTTAAGCCTCCTACCAAAATCAAAAGGAATCACAACCAGTAAAATAATTTAATGAAAATATATACATACAGGCCTGGTTAAAAGCTCGTGAAATGTGAAAGTTAATATATACTCACAGGTATTGGAGGTTTTTCAAATGGGATAGACTACTGGGAAGTTGACCATGTAAGTAATTATTAGAAAGATCAAGTGTTTGAAGCTTAGAAAGCTTCCCAATCTCAGAGGGTATGTGGCCAGATATATTGTTATTCTGCAGCAGCCTGCCAAAACCACCTATGTAAACATTTTATATTTGTATGTAGGAAGCTTAAAACCATTCATCAAAGTGGATTTTGGAACTCACACAAGCTGCAGATTTGTTAAGTTGCCGATACTGGGGGCAATAGTTCCTGATAAACTCTGGCTTGGAGCTCCTCTGGAGCAAAATTAACGTATTAAATTATCAACCATTTTGAATGTTAAAATTAGATGGGTGATGAAAGAAGATACATACAGGCCAACGACTAGATTATCTGGAGAGCAAGTGATCATATTCCAGCTACATGGATCAACGGCAGTGTCATCCCAACCATCAAGAACTCCATGAGGATCAACCAGGAAACTTTTGATGCCCATTAGAGCTATCACTGAAAAAGAAAATTCCATTAATGGTGAAAACAAAAAGGAACTGAATTGAATAGAGTCTTTCAATTAACTTACCTTCATAGTTGACTCCTTTAGAAGACAGCAATCCACATGCACAAGTCCAGAAGCAGAAGAAGGTCAGACAACAACACAAGAAAGAAGAATATACTCTTGTAGTTTCCATTTTGAAATGAAGGTCCAGAAAACAAGACAAACCCATGAGGGAGAAGCAATAAATAAACTTGGTTTTGTTTATATGAGAATGAGAGAGAGAGAGAGAGAGAACCAATCCTCAAGTGGGTAAGTTTGTTTTTGTTATATATAATGAATATATATCAGTAGGTACGATTCTTCGTGCTTTGAAGTTTGAATTACACTCTCACTCCCTCCTTTCTGTCAGACCCAATACCTAAGAAACCCAGACCTATATCAATGGAAGCAAAAGACCAGAGAGAGGAAAGTAAAGGAAAAAGAATATATAAAAGCAAAGGCAGATTAAGAAAATCTAAATGACATAAAAAGAAGATTGATAAAAGAAAATTCCCTTCAATCAAGCATTTGTTTAGAAAGCAGTGATGTCTCAGAATTCTATATTATATAATTTATATTCCTCATTTATACATATACATATAATATAAATGAAGTATATGATTTAGGAGTAGGACAGGCGGATCAAAGATAACCAGGTGGGTGAGTTAGATTTGCTGTCACCTTGTTTGGCCGCTAGGAACTAACCAAAAACATTCTTTCAGGTTCTTTATTTTCTGATTAAAAGTCCCAACCTTCCATTATTCACTTTTTTACTGATAATAATTAACTATAAAATTAAAAGAAAAAGGAAAGATGGGAATCTCGAGGGACAGAATTTGATCATCAGCTTGAGATTGGCGATGGCTCGTCGTGAAATCTCTTTTGTTGGTGTGAATTATTTGCTTCTTTTCTTTTTTATTATAGGAGTGAATTAATTTTTAAAATACACAAGAACATATCTCAGTTGGATATCTTTTTCTTTTTTTATATATATTGATTCAAAATAGTACACACACTCACATCACATTTGTCTACAGAGTCAAATGGACACAAACAAAGCAAGAAACTTTAAAAAGCAAAAGCTGCCCACTCCCTCTCTCTTTACCTTTCTTTCTCTAATCTTATATGGGTTTGTGTGGGATCCCTTGTATCTGAGACTCAGCTTCTGCAGTCCATGCCGTCTGATCATCATGGTGTTAGTAGCCATGATCAGTTTAGTAATGATGATTGAAGGCAATGCATGAGCAGAGCAGCAGTGAGACTGAGTGGCTTTAAGTTAAGCCTGATAATTGCTTGCTTGCTGTGCATAGATGCACGTGCAACTGGTTGGCGGACCCCACACCACTAGTTGACTTGACAACGTTCAAAACAACCCCCATTGACCGATAATCATTATTCACTACTAAACTTCATCAGATGGCTATCATTAATAGTCAGACATGATGAAGTTCATTCTAATACATAGGATTAGCATTTCTTGGACGATGATCTTTGTACCTGGTTTGAGTAATTTCGTTTTATACAGTGCAGGCAAGAATGATTTCGTACTTGGTGTTAATAATTACATTACATTTTCCGTATATATATATATATATATATGTATATACACACACATTACGTCTATATATATATATATATATGTATACACACCCAGTTGTAAAAAGTGTTGATGTCAGATTACACAGTGAGGGGGGGTTTGGGTTCCACCACATTCACATAACCAATCTTATTACTTGAGGATTCTGAGACCTCTCACAACCACTTGTACATGTTTAATTGAGAATAAAATAATTATATATGCCAAATTCCTTTTTTCTTTCTTCAATTACTTCACTACTCTATATATATTACGTTGGATTCATTCTCTTTCTCAGAAACTACGATTAACAGTTCAAGTACCGTAAGGCTCTAAACTTGAGCTTGTATCTACTGTAGTATAGTTTATTAAAGGCGATGAGTGAAACCCTAATGACAAATCAATATTAGTCGGGTGATCATGTCAGATTCTTTGAGGAACAACTAATAAGCAAAATTAGCAGCATCCAGGTTGGTGGTGTTCTTTATTTTCTCAGGAATTGATAAATAAGAAATATGCTGTCACTTCATTTTCTTGATTAACAAAATTCACATGGCAACAAACAAAATCAAATTTTCCAAGCTATGTGATTTCAGTCAAAGAGAAAAGAACAGGTGGGGTATAAAGGACCGTCATCATGAACTTAATCAACAAGATATATATACAAATGAGTAGCAAATAATTGTTGTTTATCAAAAAAAAGCAAATAATTGTTCTTTTTTTATTTTTACCCATTTGAATCTTGATTTGACATTATAAGTACTATATATATATATATATATATATATATATATATTACAAGTCCTTTTTTCGACAAATATATCTTATACCACATCATCATGTCCCTCCCACAACATTAACCAACACAGGTTATAATAAAGCCACCAAAATAGTTGACATCCCTTCGAGCCCCACCTTTCCCAACCTTCCGTCACCCACTTGATTCCCAAACCTATGTGCATGCATGCATGCATGCATACATGATTCGCTCTCATTATCATCCATGCAAATAACTCACTATCATATCATATCATATCCTACATCTATATGTATATGTACAGTCATAATATCATTCAACTATTCCTTCTCCTTTTCTATTTGTCACGAACCCAACAGTAAGTCCTATACTTTTCCACGCTTTTCTAAAGATCACACGACAAAGATGTAAACCCAAAATCAAATCTACTATTTGCTTTTTGCCAAACTCAATTTCATAACATAGTTTACTAATATTTCCATATTAGTCAATTAAATTCACGTAATCTTTTGGACCTCAATGATTATCTTTAGTTTAAAATTCTAAGTTTCCAACAAATAATTTGAACCCTTACACTATAAGTTAAGAGCATCAACAAGATATCTTTTTCATCTAAATAATTTTCTAACCTACCATTAACGTGCTGTCAATCTAAAATAAATCCGAATATATTTCTTTTTCTTTTTCTTTTTTTTCTTGAAAATGGGTAAACTTTAACTAGAAATAAATAACATAAATCTGTATTTATTATATATAAATTGATTTATATAGTTACTTAATTTACAAATATAGACAAGAGAAATTAGTCAGCAAAAATTTAAACTAGTTAATAAATACAAAGGGAAGCAGAGAAGACGACTTCAGGCACGCTTCAGAGATGGTGTTTTTCACAAAAAAAAAGGGGAAGACAAAGGATGTGAAGGGAAAGAGAATAGAAACGGGCCGAAAGAGGAAACTGAAGAAAGCGACGAAGATGAACAGATACGCGTGCCGGGTCACAGGCGGTACAAGTGACAGCTTCTGTAATTCGGCCACGGCAGGAGTCCGTTGAAAAAGGAAAACCTCCAAAATTGAGTTGGTGGCCGACGTTGATAAAGAGTTGTTTTGAAGAGAAAAAGAGCACGAGCAGAAGAGAGGCACCGCCACTTGGGAGTTTAGGGATCTCCAGTCAGGTCCCTCAGTTAAAACCTCTGAAACCTTACTTTCATTGATAAAGGGACTTGGATTTAAATTTATAAACAAGTTAAGGTTTCAGCATCATCTTGATTAGTTGTTTAGGACATAAGTTACAAACTCGAGAATGGAAAATAGGTATTCTTATCAAGAACAGTAAGAATTAAGTGCAGATAACACCAAAAACAAATATTAGTGCTGATAAACATACATTCCACTAATGAAACCAATGAAAGTAACAAGTCCTAAAACATATGTTGTAGATGTAACTTCCTAGATAAAAACTACCCAAAAGTCTAGGATGAATGACAGCTCAGAGGGAAAAATGAAGGAACTTTCAGGAGTCCAATTTCCCTTGCACAAGCCCGGGTCTGTCTACGTCTGCCTTGATTTCCTGGTGTGCACTATGCAATTGAAGTTTGTCTGTAATCATACTGCTTATTGAAAGAAACCGGCATATAAATTTGAAGTTATTTTGTTTCTTAAAGAAAAAATTGAACCATCATCTGAGGAGTTGCTGATAATTTTGGCATTAGAGAGATGAAGTCCTTCTCCAAAAGGCCTAGACTTCCACAAGAGAGACTTGTATTTTTTACTTTTGTGGATGTTGAAGCATTTTGCAAGCATTAAGCCCAAGAGAAGTAGCGTCTGTTTTTAAGTTTTGTGAACATTGGACAAAATATTCGAAATAGATTTTCACAATAGGATAATTTGTCACTCTTGGGTTTAATGTCTGTGACAATAATTTCATAACTAAGGTAACAAATATTGGTTACAAAGCTTTTATAAATGATTTTATAGCGACGGTAAGCGCGTTTTATGTCACCTAATGACAACAAACTTTATCACTAAATATAATTGTGCTTTTCTTGTTTATGTAGAAGAATACATCTGTCACTAAATCTCACGTAGTAATTGTATAAAAAAACTTAAGTCATGTAACCATTATGTAATTGTTAGTGGGGTTAGAAGCACAATCGCAACATACTTTACATATACATATATATTTATTAGTGTGAGAGAGAGAGAGGGGGAGAGTTTTTATATTCCCTCATTGCAAGGCCACAAACAAATGGAGCAGAATAAGTACCCTTTGAAAAGGGGTCCTTGATTTCAAAGCTTAGGATACCTCACACGCAAGCCCTATATGTGTGTGTGTGTGTATATATATATATATATACATACTGTTTCCTGATGTAGGTGATACAAGAGGTAATCCCCCTCCAAAATACCAGAATTGAGAAAAAAAAAAAAACCCTTTCCCCACCTGCTCTCACTCACTTTTTCTTTTCTCTCCCCTACTCACCATCTCTTTAATCATCCGTCTTTTTTTCCCCCATGGAAACCCACTCCCATAGAAACCATTATATATATATAATATATATTAATAAAATGAATATCTATCTTTCTTCTTTTTCGTGGCGAAATCAAATCTTTTATCGTCAATAATTTGATTTAACCCGTTTTAGAAGCATTAGAAAAAGTAAATGAAGACAAAGAAAAAGATAAACTAATTGATATTGAAGCACAAAAGTTAAAGCATAAGACAAAACAACATATGGTGAACAATGATTTGACACTAAAGACGATTGGAATTTAACTTAATCACTTAATTAAGCACAGGAATTTCACACCCTGGAACCCATAAAACTCGCTGCTACATCAATTATCACAATTACACATATATGTATATGTGTATATAGTCTACAGAAAGTGCAATGGGATTTATATGGGAGAGCCATGAAGATAGATATATCGCAATATTAAGAAAAACAATCAAATCATTAGTTATATATGTATGATGCATAATTAATTCATTCACGATAGACCCATAATACAACTACTACACATATAACATCAAAAATTTCAGATACTCATGATCAATCATTCTCCCAACAGAGGGAAAAAAAAAGAAAAAAAAAACCCACTAAAATGTTTCTGCTTGCACGCTGTGATTTCTCACCATCATGCTTTGATAATTGCAGAAAAGATCTCTGTTTGGATTAACTACTGTATCATTAATGTACATATATATATATATATATATTCCCATGCAATTCCAATTTGGAGATTCAAAACGAACCCTGGCTTTTCAATTTCATTTTGGATTACAGAATTTAATTTAATTTCAATTTGTTCAAAAATATATACATATATTAGAGAATGTATGGTGGAATACAGCTTCTTTTCTTAATGAAAGATTCCCTCCATATATACTAGTAAAAACGAGATGATAGCATAATGCACCAAATGTCTGTATCCACTGCCAATGTATTTTGGGTGACCAACTTTTCCTTCCTTTCCAGCAACCCAAATTCAAGTTTTGGAATTTATTCGCAACTCCATCAAATTGACAAACTAACAAAACTTTTTAACCGAATAAACAAAAAGAAAAAAAAAGATCGAAGTAATGAATGAAAACCTATTTAATTATGATTAAAGTAATTAAGATAGACATATATATATATATACATATATTTCACTTTAAAAAAAAAAAAGATCTCTGGTGTGCCCAATTCCAGTCGCAACCTTAATCGTGTAAGTCTCTCAAAAAAGTCTTATAACACAAATCAGAGAGCGATTAATACAATGTAAGAAAGCAGTAAACTGACTGGTAACAGAAGAAGACTAAACCTACCTGTTGAAGAACGGTAGGTAGAAGAGAAACCCCAGAGCCGAATTCGAGGGGAACAGCCGAAACCGAAAATCGTAGCAAGACATTGTAACATGAATAACCGATAAATAGTCAAGAAGCAACAAGAATTAAGACAAATAAACAAGAAACAATAGGAAAACTTACAAATTAAAGTACGAAAACGGATCTCTGGTGTCCCCACCCAATCCCAATCGCAACCTTAATCGTGTAAGTCTCTCAAAAAAGTCTGATAACACAAATAAGAGAGCGATTAATATAATGTGATAAAGGAGTAAACTAATTGGTAAAGGGAGAAGAATAAACCCACCTGTTGAAGAGCGATAGGTAGAAGAGAGCCGAATTGGAGGGGAAGAGCTGAGGACAGATGCTCGTGAGACAGGGAAATAACCTAATTTACGAAGGGGTGAACCTTCGTGGCTACGACGCTACACAGCTCACTGGATGCCGGAATACCGTCTTGCCCTCTTCTCTTTTGCCCTAACTTTCCGTTTATTTTGACGATTCGTTTAGTTGGTTAATTGACCGAATTAACCCTCTTCTCATATTTCTATTTTAAACTTTCTGTTTTCCATTAATTTTTTTCTTTTTTTTTTTTTTTTTTTTTGTATGGTGTGTAATTTGTTAATAATTAATTCCATTAAATTTTCTTAAGTATGTTTAAAAATCTATATAATATTGATATAATTTTCTTAGAATATTAAAAAAAAAAAAAACAACAACATAAAACTGGAGTTAATTTAAGAGGGTTAATTAGGGGATTTGACATAAGGAACAAGGGATGGGCCTCCATCAAACTCATAAGCTCCCTATGAATGGGTGTCTTTCAAAAACCCAATCTTGGTAAGAACCCCAGATTTTTATAAGGCTCTTCTCCTAATATTCCAACCAATTTCTTTTCCTTTTCTTCTTGCTAATTTTGGTACATAAACTTTATAGATGTTACTGTTACTAAATATAGCTTTTCTGTATTATAATTGTGAAATATGTGCTTGTGAAGATTTCCTTTCAATTGTTATGTTTTGGGGGCACCCACTAAGAGGGAGAGGAATAAGAAAGTAAAAGACATAAGAAAAAGAAGTTCGAAAAATCAAACACTACCATAGAAAATCTTAACTAAAAATATTTTAATTAACCACCCTTTCTCGCATTAATTCTTAATACAATTCACTCTTTTC